GTTTCACAGACATTGTTTTGGGGCTCTCAAAAACAAACATCACAACCTTCCACTTAAACATCATCCATAAAATATTTAGTACAGACTTTTAAGAAGGTGGATGTGTTGGGTTTTTTGAAAGGAAACAAGTTTATTTAAAAGCAGTTCTTTTACCCAAACAACTGTTTTGATTTATGCAGAATTAATGACAAAATAGTGAATATGTTTATGTTGTCAGTAAGTGATGTTTTGCATAGAGGACAACTTCTCATCCATAACAGACAGGATTGTGTAGTATTTTTACTCTTACAATAAGTGTTCTCTAAACGATGTTTTATTGCTTATACACCTGCTAGTTGAATTGGAAAGTTTGTCGAACTTCAGAGTTATACATTTTCCAGTTTTGAATCGGGTTGACAACAGTAGTTCCTGTATTTTTTAAAAGGGCATTTATGATGTAGTAAGGGGCATGAGTGAAACATGGAAACAGCTCAGGAGTAGTGAGGTCATCTCAATAAACGTAGAGTCAGCAGATTACCAACATGTCATTTGAACAACTTGCTACAACTGCCAATCAGCCTCATCTTCACGTAATACAATTTCTGTGTTTTTCTGAGAAGACCTTCTCGATTGCAAATAAAAGTGACAAAAGTCTTTCCATTATCTTAAAGAAAGATATTTTTGAGTGGAAGAAAATTGTTCTGCCTTTGCATACCTTTGGGAGTTAGGTGGCCCAGTGGTTATGTCCCAGCCAGCTTCTAGTGAGTCTAGGTTCAAATAGTTGCAAAACCTCATTGACTTCCATATCTGACTCTTTTTGACACAAGCTCCTCACAGGGTGGAGGAAGGGGTATATGGTGCAAAGAGCTTAAAGAAGAGAGAACATCATAGGTTATCCTAACATCCAAACCTCACAAATAGGTGTTGGAAGTTCTCAAGCCTGAAGTGTTAATCAAAGAAGAAAAACTACTTAGGCCATTTTGTCTTAATCATCTGCATGACAGCATTTGGAGGAGCTACTTGGGAGGTTTGGGACGGGTTCCTACATCAGGGGGTTCCGCGTAGATGTGTAAAAAGTGAAGAAATGTTCATAAAAACTATATTAGTGAAAGCCAGTGCCGTTGATATGTAATAAATGATTCTAAGGTGTAGATAATCAGGAAACGAATTGCATTGACTTTCCAGTTGTGGCCATTTGGGTTTGTTGTGTGCTCTGTTTGGAAGGTGGTGAGGCTGCTTTACTCCAGTGGTTCAACTTCTAAGTGTTCCTGTTTTTGTGGTAATTTTAATGGTAAGAAAGGTAGGATAATTTATGAATGACAACTTCTCTCGTGTATTGATGCAACATTTTGGTATAGATTATTGCTTGATAATGCTATAGGACTTACTGTCATGGTGTCTCCATAGTGTATACCACAGAGTCAGAGATTTGCTACACGGGAATTGATCTACGCTATCAGAAATATGAATTATGCTGTGACTGGTCATCAGGGTGGAGGTTAGACCATGATCATTGGCATTGTGTATATTGTGTCACTGTTGCTGATATCACTCACTCACTCACAAAAAAAAATGAGTCTGTTGTGACTGAAACATCCAATTTCACATCACTGTTTCAGTGGAATGTACCACATATGACATATTTTAAATTGTAGAATGTTTCGGAAATGTCAGCATTCACCTGACAGTAGTTGTGCCTTTAGTTTTGCAACATGAGGTGCCAAAGGTTTCTCAAGACAATGTAACTGTTTCAGAATATATGTGAGAACTTTGAATGAAACCATATTGTAAGTTTGACATTTTCAAGTCACTAAAAGAACAGAAGGTTAAGGATTACTGATTAAAGCCCTCCATTCCATAGACAGACACTATTGCAGCATGGACTGGCTTTTTCACTTCCAACATGCTAATGTGTTAATATACACAATAAGATTGGCCACTAAGGATTGGCTCGGTAGAATGTGGATATGCCAAATCTTATTTCCCAGTCTATTATATTGTATCTTTAGTCAGCTTTTCAGTAATTTTTTTAGTCCTTTTTGCAAAACTATTACCTTAATCTATGAAATATAAATATGCAGATGACATCCAACTGGGCCAAGATGGCTGACAGGCAATGCTACTGTGTCAGCACCAGATGATGTATAGCAAATTACCTCCCTTTCATAAACCATGGCATCAAGTTATAGGTACTACAAACACCCAGAGTCAGCTAGGCCAGGTCACATGGCCTACTCTTCCTTCAGTTTTCTAACCCCTCACCACACAGTGCAGCCATTCTTCACAGCTTCACCCTCACAATCAGTCAGTCATGAAAAAGACCCTGTCTGAAGACCTAATTGGTTTTTTCAAGAAGGGATTAAATGTCATCAATCTACAACTGCCCCCTAAGGAGTGGGTTGAGTGGGCTAGAGAGGCTGTACAGGACAACGTTATATCGATAGGGGTTTCTTCACTGCCTACTGTGTCGACCATGATGGCCAAGCAGTTAGCTTAGCTCTGTTGGAAGCACACATAAATTTTCCATAATGGTGTATTAGACAGTTTATTAAAAACTTGCCTGGATTGGGGAGTCATGCAGGGAAGGTCTGTTGGTGAGCTGTCCGGTGGTGGCCTGGTCGTTACTGTTAATTTGAGGAAGAATTAGTGATGAACAAGCTATAAAATACTGATGGGCAATAGAAGGACGGTAATCACCCACACTTATCTGCCGACAGGTATTAAAGGGGTTTGCAGCTCATCTTCTTCACTGAATTTCCTTTCATCAAGTCGGCTGCATCGTTAGCATCAATTGATTGTAGGTTGTTTTGATCTATCAGTCAAAGATTAACGACTGGATGCGGTAGTAAACTTTACGGTCAGGACAGAGGGGATATAACGGTGCCTGCCTCAACTCTTGTACCCGCCATCTTGAATGTTGAGAATGGTAACTTTACGGAGAGGACAGAAGGGATATAACGGTGCCTGCCTCAACTCTTGTACCCGCCATCTTGAATGTTGAGAATGCCAGACAGCAGTTGAATATCCATTGTTTGTGTTTTCCTTATCATCCTTCAGGTATAAATATATATATATAAATAGTATCAGAGAGCCAATGTCAGTACCTGCAAGTGACATCCAAGACTTTGTGAGTTTGTGTCAGTATGTATGAGATGAGCTGGATGAAACTCAATAACTAAACCAGTTATAACATGGTCAGACAATTATAGTTCCAGTACCATCATGGCTCTACATGGAGCTAAGGAAATAACTAAACCAGTTATAACATGGTCAGACAATTATAGTCTCAGTACCATCATGGTCCTACACTGTGCTAGGGGAATAACTAAATCAGTTATAACATGGTCAGACAATTATAGTTCCAGTACCATCATGGCTCTACATGGAGCTAAGGAAATAACTAAACCAGTTATAACATGGTCAGACAATTATAGTTCCAGTACCATCATGATCCTACACTGTGCTAGGGGAATAACTAAATCAGTTATAACATGGTCAGACAATTATAGTCTCAGTACCTACATGGTCCTACACAGAGCTAAGGAAATAACTAAACCAGTTATAACATGGTCAGACAATTATAGTTCCAGTACCATCATGGCTCTACACAGAGCTAAGGAAATAACTAAACCAATTATAACATGGTCAGACAATTATAGTTCCAGTACCATCATGGTCCTACACTGTGCTAGGGGAATAACTAAACACGTTATAACATGAAGGTCAGACAATTGTAGTCTCAGTACCACGATGGCTCTACTCAGTGCTAGTGGAATAACTAAACCAGTTATAACATGGTCAGACAAGTATAGTTTCAGTACCATCATGGTCCTACACTGTGCTAGGGGAATAACTAAACACGTTATAACATGGTCAGACAAGTATAGTTTCAGTACCATCATGGTCCTACACTGTGCTAGGGGAATAACTAAACCAGTTATATCATGGTCAGACAATTGTAGTTTCAGTACCATCATGGTCCTACACTGTGCTAGGGGAATAACTAAATCAGTTATAACATGGTCAGACAATTATAGTCTCAGTACCTACATGGTCCTACACAGAGCTAAGGAAATAACTAAACCAGTTATAACATGGTCAGACAATTATAGTTCCAGTACCATCATGGCTCTACACAGAGCTAAGGAAATAACTAAACCAATTATAACATGGTCAGACAATTATAGTTCCAGTACCATCATGGTCCTACACTGTGCTAGGGGAATAACTAAACACGTTATAACATGAAGGTCAGACAATTGTAGTCTCAGTACCACGATGGCTCTACTCAGTGCTAGTGGAATAACTAAACCAGTTATAACATGGTCAGACAAGTATAGTTTCAGTACCATCATGGTCCTACACTGTGCTAGGGGAATAACTAAACACGTTATAACATGGTCAGACAAGTATAGTTTCAGTACCATCATGGTCCTACACTGTGCTAGGGGAATAACTAAACCAGTTATATCATGGTCAGACAATTGTAGTTTCAGTACCATCATGGTCCTACACTGTGCTAGGGGAATAACTAAACACGTTATAACATGAAGGTTAGACAATTGTAGTCTCAGTACCACGATGGCTCTACTCAGTGCTAGTGGAATAACTAAACCAGTTATAACATGGTCAGACAAGTATAGTTTCAGTACCGTGAAGGCTCTGCTCAGTGCTAGGGGAATAACTAAACCAGTTATAACATGGTCAGACAATTGTAGTCTCAGTACCATCATGGTCCTACACAGAGATAAGGAAATAACTAAACCAGTTATAACATGGTCAGACAATTGTAGGTTCCATCATGGTCCTACACGGTGCTAGGGGAATAACTAAACCAGTTAAACCATGAAGGTCAGACAGTTGTGTTCCCAGTACTATCATGTGCCTCGGGATTAACTGAACCAGTAATGATGCATGCAAAACTCGGTTCAAAGTGTGGACCCCATTTTTGTGTGTTTCCCTCACAGAAATGGTTGGAAAACAATTTTTGAAAACTCACCCAAGTCATATTGTGTTTGTAGGATCAGGCTGTATAGATGGACGTGGGGATGGACTGCGACGTCACAAGCGGGTGTCAGCATGTATGGGGCGGTGGAACGGACACATTCAGAACAGCAGTTCGTTGTGTGCGCCTGGTTGGAGGGTGTGTTCCTGGTACGATGGCGAACTCCTCCGGAACATTTCATGGAGGGACGCCATGTCTGTGGGCGGGTGTTATGCTTTCAATGCAGCCCAAGATGGAGGAAGATGTCGGGAGTGCCGAGATGACCTGGAGCAGGTGAGTCAGGTGCTTGATTGCAGGTGTGGAACGGGTGAGTTGGGAGAATGTTATGTCACCAATCCTGTCACACATCCTAACTTGACCACCGTATAAAATAATATATGTCTGGCCAGAGAGCAGATGGTCAGTGACACCCATACACACATGCACACACACGGACGTGCACGCACACACATGGAAACTTCATAGGTTGGAATCTCACAGACCCATGCACGTGTGTTAGACTTGTCAACCCTGCCTGATCCATCCTGGCCCTTTACCATGACAATATTGAGATGACTCAAATACTGACTATAATCGAGTGTAAGGGTGTTATTTAAGTGGTTTACTTGTACAAATTGGTGGAAAAAAATCAGTACCAACACTAATCAAGTTCTTAATAATTCATTGGTCTAGGAACTTGCAGCAAGTATCATGAATTATGCCAACATTTCTAGCTTTTGTCAAAACTGAATGCCAGCAGATTTGTTTCAGGAGAAACTGGATTAGGTATCATGGCATGGAATATCTACTTGGCCTTAGTTTGGTAAACCAGATCCAGATTAGTGTCAAAAACTATGGAATACATCTCAACATCACTTGAGGTCTTTATGAATTATTTATGCCAGGTTGTTGTTTGACAGTAGCAGATTCCAAATGACCAGCGCCATAGGTAGTAATGCTGAAATCACCGTTGGACAAATGATACAACCTCATTGGATGGTTGCCCTGTCTTAACGCCTTTATGACTGAGAGAATTGCTCTAAGCGGGGATAAAACAGATGAAATTTGATATGTGAAGCAAGTAAATGAGAAATATTTATTATTCCTACTTAAAGACAACACCTCCATATGTTTTCTATAGACCCAGGGTCTTCCTCTGGTGTACATGTTTTTAGACATTTCAGTTTCGATTATTTCCAATCATCTGATACAGAAAGACTTCCTCAACTGAATATTGAAGAACATGATGTGATTGGCCTCAGTAGAGAGAGTCAACAGCATGAAGATGAATGTGAGGCTACATACAGCTGGATATAGCTGTATACCTGTGTTCAACCATGAAATATAGGCACCTTATGGCCGGACAAACACATTTTAACTTATCATCAATTTTTGAATTAAGGAACAGATACATTGAGGTCACAAGCTTTAAGGTACCCTTCAATGTCAACTGCTTTGGATACCGAAAGTTAGGAGATGTTAATGATTCTCAGTAAGGTCCAGAATACTGAAGTGCACCTCTGAAGCCTGTGGCCAGTGGTGTCGTTTACACCTGACAGTATTGGCTTACCTGTGACGAGTGTACAGGTGACAGGCTGACCAGGTGTTTTAGTTGGATGTATTGAGTGTTACTGACTCGCTGCACGAAGTAGTAGAAGATGCATGGATGTCTCCAGTAACACCTTAACGAGATGGGCTCCGTGTCTTGGGATAATATTGGTTATGGAATGAGTGAATATTGTTTTATGCTGGATCTGTATTATCTTATTCAGTTTACAAGTTATGAACTTTGTTCAAACTTCAAAAAACCTTCAAAATCACAGATATGTCCAAATATGTCCGGGTAGTGATTAAAGCGTTCCCTTGTCATACCAAAGACCTGGGTTCGATTCCCCACATCGATGCAATTTGTGAAGCCCATTTCTAGGGGCTCCTGCCATGATATAGCTGGAATATTGCTAAAAGCGGTGTAAAAACAAACTCACTCACTCACCCAAATATGTCAGTGAGATAGACAGTTGTCAGTGTTTGACGCTGCATACCTACATCATTTGTATGGTGATAGGGTAATCCAGTAGTTGAAGTGTTGGCTCATCACAATTTACCCTCCCAATAATCCTCCCATCCACTTACACACTCACTTTGTCTTACTTGTTCCAGGACGACCTCGCAGGCATCGGACGAGGATGTGCCCATCAGAACCTGGGCCAAACGTCATGCATCAGCGGTGGCCGCATCGATGCCAGCTGCTGCGTTGACGCCCACTTCCACCGCGCATGTCAATACCAACCAGGCCTGGCTACCGGGATTCTCTGCTGCAAGATGCCAGGTACACACAAGCCAGCAGGAGTTGTCTCCCTTCGCCCACATGGCTCTGTGTGGAGTTCCCAAATGGCATTGATCACGAATAATTAATATAGCAAGTGGCTGGTATTTGACAAAGCAATTTGTTAGTTTTTCCAACCACACCCACTAATGGACTCATGTTTCCTCATTGGCTTATGGTATGGTGGGCGTGGAGTGTGCCGAAAGTTACAGATTTCATATTTTAATCTACATTTAAAAACTATAAAGCTATTATTGTTGACATCTTTAAGAAATGTTTCAGAGGATTTATCCGGAGTTATTTGTTTGCACATTATTAGTTATGTTTATATGTTCACAAAGGCAAAAAATATTTATGTCAATTTTTATGTTAACTCAGAAACATTTGTTTGTTATTATGAATAGATAATCAAATATGATCTGTTTTATACTATTGAACCTGTTACGCAAGAGTTCAATTTCATTTTATTGTCTTTTAAATATTTGTATCCATGTGTTCAGTAAAACGTCCCAAGATCGCGGTGAAGCCCCCAGAGAAGATGTACGTGTACACGGGGCTTATCTTCCTGTTGACATGTCAGGCCACAGGCATGCCGCCTCCAAGGGTGCAGTGGTACAAGGACGGGGTCCAGATGGCCAAGAACAACCAACGCATCTCTGTGCTGTCTTCAGGTGAATGACGACTGTATATCACATCTACAGGGGGCACTACTACAACTTTCGCTGTGTGTGCCTTAGCCACACTAGTATTTGTTTGTTGTGGGTTCAAATCCTATATTGTAATGATTCCTGGTGTAAGAGCACCATGTCTTATGTGTCACAGTGGACAGTGGATATACTATCTGTGTCACTCATGTCTGTTCTCCCTTGTCATGCTGCCTGACTGTGATGTAACAAACAACTGTTGGAAGAGGCAATAAAATCCCAAGTAACCTTCAGTGATGTAATTGTTTCATCAAGTAGGTTTGTGTTTTTGGAGTGAATGAGTGAGTTTACTTTTACGCCACACTCAGCAATATTCCAGCTATATGGCAACGGTCTGTAAATAATCGAGTCTGGACCAGACAATCCAGTGATCAACAGCATGAGCATTGATCTACACAATTGGGAACCGATGACATGTGTCAACCAAGTCAGCCAGCCTGACCACCCGATCCCTTTGGTCGCCTCTTACGACAAGCATAGTCGTTGTGTTTTGGGAAATGGGGATGGCCTTTGATGATGATGATGATGATGATGATGATGATGATGATGATGATGATGATGATGATCCTCAGGAGACCTGTTGGTGACACTGGCCAAGAAGTCGGACACTGGGCTGTACACCTGTGAGGTCATCAACGAGGAAGGCATTGACATGGCCAGCTCCTACGTCGTGGTGTCGGGTGAGTGTGTGTCCACACAGGGGATGACAGCTCCTCTGCTGCATTGATTAATAATAATAATAATGATAATAGTACTTGCATTTATGGAGCGCAGCAATTCACAATTATGATATGCTTTTGTGCACATCCCAAGTTTTTTCCTATTTCTTATATTTTATGAAGTTTATTAGTGTCCAAAGCCTTGCTTGCGGATCTTCCAAAAGTTTGCTTCACAGTGGGCTTTCACTCCTCATAACTCACTAATTCACATAAATAAACCAGTACAACTGTACATGGAGTGCCATGGCTCATCAATTGTCAGTCAACTGACTCTACATGTATTTTGTCAACTCACCTAAGCTGTGTTTTGTCAACTGTCTGTTCAGTCAACTGACTACCTGTGGTTTGTTCACTGTCTGTTCAGTCAACTGACTCTAACCGTCAGGATTTTGTCAACTGACAACCTGTGGTTTGTTCACTGTCTGTTCAGTCAACTGACTCTAACCGTCAGGATTTTGTCAACTGACTCTACCTGTGTTTTGTTGACTGTCTGTTCAGTCAACTGACTCTAACCGTCACGGTTTTGTCAACTGTCTGTTCTGTCAACTGACTCTACCTGTGTTTTGTCAACTGTCTGTTCAGTCAACTGACTCTAACCGTCACGGTTTTGTCAACTGACTCTACCTGTGTTTTTCAACTGTCTAATCGGTCAACTGACCTACCTGTGTTTTGTCACCTGTCTGTTCAGCCAACTGACTCTACCGTTGTTTTGTCAACTGTCTGTTCAGCCAAGTGACTCCATGTGTGTTTGTCAACAGTCTGTTCAGTCAACTGTTATACTGTAACTAAGTTTCCACTGCAGAATATTCCTCTGGCTGTGCTGACGGCACCACAGAAGGCCTGCACATGCACCGAGATGTACATGCATGTGCCGGCGAGTGGAAAGGTCATGTGAAGAATGGGAAGAGTCTATGTCAGAATGGATGGAGGGTGTGTAAGCCACAGGACCAGTCTATTCTACAGGAGTTGACGTGGCTGGACATATTTGACCTTGGAGGATGCTACGCTTACAATGCTGCTAATAGCAAGGGGAGGTGCAAGAGGTGAGTGATGGCCATATTGAGGGTGTCAGGCTTACACATCCTGCATTTTGTGTTGTTTGTGGTTTAATGTTTGACAGGTAAAACTCTTTATTGGTGAGTCAAGTCACTTTGTTTGCCAGTGCTGACCATGTAAAAGAGTAATTTGGTCTGATGTGTAGTTTCCACTATGTAGTTGTCCTGTGTATTGTCCACTTATGGCAATACTTGTCCTGTGGAGTGTCAAGTTATGGCAATACTTGTCATGTGTAGTGTCCACTTATGGCAATATTTGTACTGTGTAGTGTCAACTTATTGCAATACATGTCCTTTGTAGTTTCCACTTATGACAATACTTGTCCTGTACACTGTCCACTTATGACAATACTTGTCCTGTGTAGTGTCAACTTATTGCAATACATGTCCTTTGTAGTTTCCACTTATGACAATACTTGTCCTGTACACTGTCCACTTATGACAATACTTGTCCTGTACACTGTCCACTTATTGCAATACTTGTCCTGTGTAGTTTCCACTTATGACAATACTTGTCCTGTACACTGTCCACTTATGACAATACTTGTCCTGTGTAGTGTCAACTTATTGCAATACATGTCCTTTGTAGTTTCCACTTATGACAATACTTGTCCTGTACACTGTCCACTTATGACAATACTTGTCCTGTACACTGTCCACTTATTGCAATACTTGTCCTGTGTAGTTTCCACTTATGACAATACTTGTCCTGTGTAGTGTCAACTTATGACAATACTTGTCCTGTGTAGTTTCCACTTATGGCAATACATGTCCTGTGTAGTGTCAACTTATTGCAATACATGTCCTTTGTAGTTTCCACTTATGACAATACTTGTCCTGTACACTGTCCACTTATGACAATACTTGTCCTGTGTAGTGTCAACTTATTGCAATACATGTCCTGTGTAGTTTCCACTTATGACAATACTTGTCCTGTACACTGTCCACTTATGACAATACTTGTCCTGTACACTGTCCACTTATTGCAATACTTGTCCTGTGTAGTTTCCACTTATGACAATACTTGTCCTGTGTAGTGTCAACTTATGACAATACTTGTCCTGTGTAGTTTCCACTTATGGCAATACATGTCCTGTGTAGTGTCAACTTATGACAATACTTGTCCTGTGTAGTTTCCACTTATGGCAATACATGTCCTGTACACTGTCCACTTATTGCAATACTTGTCCTGTGTAGTGTCAACTTATTGCAATACTTGTCCTGTGTAGTGTCCACTTATGACAATACTTGTCCTGTGTAGTGTCAACTTATTGCAATACATGTCCTTTGTAGTTTCCACTTATGACAATACTTGTCCTGTACAGTGTCAACTTATGACAATACTTGTCCTGTGTAGTGTCAACTTATTGCAATACATGTCCTGTGTAGTTTCCACTTATGACAATACTTGTCCTGTACACTGTCCACTTATGACAATACTTGTCCTGTGTAGTGTCAACTTATTGCAATACTTCTCCTGTGTAGTGTCCACTTATGACAATACTTGTCCTTTGTAGTGTCCACTTATGGCAATACTTGCCCTGTACACTGTCCACTTATGACAATACTTGTCCTGTGTAGTGTCCACTTATGGCAATACTTGTCCTGTGTAGTGTCCACTTATGGCAATACATGTCCTGTGTAGTGTCCACTTATGGCAATACTTGTCCTGTGTAGTGTCAACTTATTGCAATACTTGTCCTTTGTAGTGTCCACTTATGGCAATACTTGTCCTGTGTACTGTCAACTTATGACAATACTTGTCCTTTGTAGTGTCAACTTATGACAATACATGTCCTGTGTAGTGTCCACTTATGACAATACTTGTCCTGTGGAGTGTCAAGTTATGGCAATACTTGTCATGTGTAGTGTCCACTTATGGCAATATTTGTACTGTGTAGTGTCAACTTATTGCAATACATGTCCTTTGTAGTTTCCACTTATGACAATACTTGTCCTGTACACTGTCCACTTATGACAATACTTGTCCTGTGTAGTGTCAACTTATTGCAATACATGTCCTTTGTAGTTTCCACTTATGACAATACTTGTCCTGTACACTGTCCACTTATGACAATACTTGTCCTGTGTAGTGTCCACTTATGACAATACTTGTCTTGTGTAGTGTCCACTTATGACAATACTTGTCCTGTGTAGTGTCCACTTATTGCAATACATGTCCTGTGTAGTGTCCACTTATGGCAATACTTGTCCTGTGTAGCGTCCACTTATGGCAATACTTGTCCTGTACACTGTCCACTTATGACAATACTTGTCCTGTACACTGTCCACTTATGACAATACTTCTCCTGTGTAGTGTCCACTTATGACAATACTTGTCCTTTGTAGTGTCCAGTTATGACAATACTTGTCCTGTGTAGTGTCCACTTATGGCAATACTTGTCCTGTGTAGCGTCCACTTATGACAATACTTGTCCTGTACACTGTCCACTTATGACAATACTTGTCCTGTACACTGTCCACTTATGACAATACTTGTCCTTTGTAGTGTCCACTTATGACAATACTTGTCCTTTGTAGTGTCCACTTATGACAATACTTATCCTGTATAGTGTCCGCTTATGACAATACTTATCCTGTGTAGTGTCCACTTATGGCAATACTTGTCCTGTGTAGTGTCCACTTATGACAATACTTGTCTTGTGTAGTGTCCACTTATGACAATACTTGTCCTGTGTAGTGTCAACTTATTGCAATACATGTCCTGTGTAGTGTCCACTTATGGCAATACTTGTCCTGTGTAGCGTCAACTTATTGCAATACTTTTCCTGTGTAGTGTCCACTTATGGCAATACTTGTCCTGTGTACTGTCAACTTATGGCAATACTTGTCCTTTGTAGTGTCAACTTATGACAATACATGTCCTGTGTAGTGTCCACTTATGACAATACTTGTCCTGTGTAGTCTCCACTTATGGCAATACTTGTCCTGTGTAGTGTCCACTTATGGCAATACTTGTCCGGTACACTGTCCACTTATGATAATACTTGACCTGTGTAGTGTCAACTTATTGCAATACTTGTCCTGTCTAGTGTCCACTTATTGCAATACATGTCCTGTGTAGTGTCCACTTATGGCAATACTTGTCCTGTGTAGCGTCAACTTATTGCAATACTTTTCCTGTGTAGTGTCCACTTATGGCAATACTTGTCCTGTGTACTGTCAACTTATGGCAATACTTGTCCTTTGTAGTGTCAACTTATGACAATACATGTCCTGTGTAGTGTCCACTTATGACAATACTTGTCCTGTGTAGTGTCCACTTATGGCAATACTTATCCTGTGTAGTGTCCACTTATGGCAATACTTGTCCTGTGTAGCGTCAACTTATTGCAATACTTGTCCTGTGTAGTCTCCACTTATGGCAATACTTGTCCTGTGTAGTGTCCACTTATGGCAATACTTGTCCTGTGTAGTGTCCACTTATGACAATACTTGTCCTGTGTAGTGTCCACTTATGGCAATGCTTGTCCTGTGTAGTGTCCACTAATGACAATACTTATCCTGTGCAGTGTCCACTTATGACGATACTTATTGTGTGTAGCATCCACTTATGGCAATACTTGTCCTGTGGAGTGTCAACTTATGACAATACATGTCCTGTGTAGTGTCCACTTATGACAATACTTGTCCTGTGTAGTGTCCACTTATGGCAATACTTGTCCTGTGTACTGTCAACTTATGGCAATACTTGTCCTGTGTAGTCTCCACTTATGGCAATACTTGTCCTGTGTAGTGTCCACTTATGGCAATACTTGTCCTGTGTAGTGTCCACTTATGACAATACTTATCCTGTGTAGTGTCCACTTATGGCAATACTTGTCCTGTGTAGTGTCCACTAATGACAATACTTATCCTGTGCAGTGTCCACTTATGACAATACTTATCGTGTGTAGCATCCACTTATGGCAATACTTGTCCTGTGGAGTGTCCACTTATGGCAATACATGTCCTGTGTAGCGGCCGCGTCCACTTATGTCAAAACATGTCCTGTGTGAAGACATCAATGGTTCTTTTTTGGCAGGTGTACCAAAAACAAGATGGCAGGAATTGGACGGCAGTGTGGGTGGCTCAGATACTCCCAACACTCCTGTCTGTTTCACGGCAGAATTGACGTATTTCACCCCAAAAACAACACAGGCTGTGTGTACAAGGAGAACTACACGTCCGGGGTTGTTTGCTGCAAGAAGAAAAAACGAAGACGGCCTGGTAGGTCAGATACACTCACTCTTTTCACATGGCTGATTGCAGCATAAAACAACATTCACCCATGGTTCGACTGGGAATATTCTTGGCTACAGTTTATAATAACTCTCACCCACCCTCTCTATATACATGGAGTATTGTTAGCTACTGTTTAGAATAACTCTCACCCACCCCTCTCATGGAATATTGACGGCTACAATTTTGACAACCAGCTCTCACTCACTCACTCAAACAACTGACTCAATCCCCATTGCAGCCTCCAAGAAGCCTGTGTGCAGCCCGACCTGTGAGAACCAAGGCCAGTGTGTGGCCAACAACCGATGTCAGTGTTCCATCGGATACAAGGGGGCTCGCTGCCAGAACCGTGAGTACACCAGCCTGTGCTGTAGTTGTTCAGTGTTCCATCGGATACAAGGGGGCTCGCTGCCAGAACCGTGAGTACACCAGCCTGTGCTGTAGTTGTTCAGTGTTCCATCGGATACAAGGGGGCTCGCTGCCAGAACCGTGAGTACACCAGCCTGTGCTGTAGTTGTTCAGTGTTCCATCGGATACAAGGGGGCCGCTGCCAGAACCGTGAGTACACCAGCCTGTGCTGTAGTTGTTCAGTGTTCCATCGGATACAAGGGGCTCGCTGCCAGAACCGTGAGTACACCAGCCTGTGCTGTAGTTGTTCAGTGTTCCATCGGATACAAGGGGCTCGCTGCCAGAACAGTGAGTACACCAGCCTGTGCTGTAGTTGTTCAGTGTTCCATCGGATACAAGGGGGCTCGCTGCCAGAACCGTGAGTACACCAGCCTGTGCTGTAGTTGTTCAGTGTTCCATCGGATACAAGGGGGCTCGCTGCCAGAACAGTGAGTACACCAGCCTGTGCTGTAGTTGTTCAGTGTTCCATCGGATACAAGGGGGCTCGCTGCCAGAACCGTGAGTACACCAGCCTGTGCTGTAGTTGTTCAGTGTTCAGGTTCAAGGACAGGACCAAGAATCCATATGAACTGAGTCTGTGATAACAGTTGTCTTCGCTAAATACTTGCAAATTTAAATTCAGTTCTCCTGTAAGGAAAGCTGGTTTCAATTTGCCAGCAGTCTTGTTGTATTTGTTGGTGTCATAAGGCAGAAAGATGGTTTCAATTTGCCAGCAGTCTTGTTGTATTTGTTGGTGTCATAAGGCAGAAAGATGGTTTCAATTTGCCAGCAGTCTTGTTGTATTTGTTGATGTCATAAGACAGAAAGCTGGTTTCAATTTGCCAGCAGTCTTGTTGTATTTGTTGGTGTCATAAGGCAGAAAGATGGTTTCAATTTGCCAGCAGTCTTGTTGTATTTGTTGATGTCATAAGGCAGAAAGCTGGTTTCAATTTGCCAGCAGTCTTGTTGTATTTGTTGATGTCATAAGACAGAAAGCTGGTTTCAATTTGCCAGCAGTCTTGTTGTATTTGTTGATGTCATAAGGCAGAAAGCTGGTTTCAATCTGCCAGCAGGCTTGTTGTATTTGTTGATGTCATAAGGCAGAAAGATGGTTTCAATTTGCCAGCAGTCTTGTTGTATTTGTTGATGTCATAAGGCAGAAAGCTGGTTTCAATCTGCCAGCAGGCTTGTTGTATTTGTTGATGTAGTAGGGCAGAAAGATGGTTTTGTGCATGTAGTCCTCAGACCAATGATAGACGATGCATTGTATTTATAAATTCAGAGCATGTTTTGCATAAACAATATATATAGATAGAAACTTTCCATTTGTTGTGTTAACTGACATTAAGTGTTGCACTTGCAGCCATCTGCAGTCCGGGGTGTGGGACCAAGGGCCGGTGTGTTTCCCCCAACAAGTGCAAGTGTCATACAGGCTACATGGGCAAGTTCTGTCGCAAGAAGGTCATCAAGTGTCATAAGCCATGTTTGCATGGTGGCCGATGTTCGAGGGGGAAGTGTCGATGCCCTCCAACACACTGGGGAAATTCCTGTCAATATCGTGAGTATCAGTCAGGATACAGTTTTGTATGGTACACCCATGTCTTTCAGTATTTGTGTCAAGACTTCTGACAAATGTTTTCCGATGTACGTAGTTTTCATCGTAATTCCCCGTTTATCCAGATACAGAATAGGTCTCCACGGTGCCATGTGTGTTGCCAGTGTCCTGGGCCTAGATTTCTGAAGCTCTCTTAGCGCTAAGATAGTCGTAAGTGCCTTACATTAACATAGACTTACGACCATCTTAGTGCTAAGAGAGCTTCCAAAATCTAGGCCTTGTACCTGAACCACTGCTTCCTCTATTACCAGACCAACACTCACTCAGACTGCAAGAGTTGTGTCCCTTAGTCAAGCCATAAGCCTTTAATCCTTACAAGTATGAGGATGCACATTAACATTAAGCAGAGCCCTAGTTGGAGATGGATCATATTGTCCCCACGAGGTTGAACTGTCACCTGCCAGAAAAGGTTGTGAGGTAAAATGGATGGATCAGACTTTTCTCAGATTCTAGAATAAGATCATAAAATGTTCTTCACCAAACAGACAGAACAGTTCCACGGAATGTACTTGAATACTGCTTTGCCTTGCACTGGAAGACTGCTTTGACAAGGCAACGTGTGCCATTTGTGTATAGGTTTGAACTTGCTTGATAACGGTGTTAGTACCTACACAGAAATGTTGTACTCATTGCAATAAAGAATTGGCTATCCATAGAACTTGGTTTTCCTTCATTACTGGATAGTCTGGTGAAGCCAACGGGCAGCAAGACAATTAGCGTTCCTGTTTCTGTGTTTGCAGTGCTTCAGCATATTCTCCTGTCTAAACTGAACCGCACGGAGAGATGAGAAGCCGGACAAGGATGCCTGGATTTACCCCCTCACTGCCACAGGTGTACAGAAGCACGGCGACTGGGACGGAGGACAGACGTGGAGGAGGCCAACTTGGCCCACACTGATGATGAAGTAGTTGTTGTTTCTCAAGGAAGGCTCTTGTGTATATTGTTGTTTCATTGTAAATTGTGAAAACTGTACATAGACCTGTTGACTATTTATAAAGAAATATGTTTACCACATGATGTATATAATGTTTTATTATTTCTACAGTCATTGCAAATGGCCCATCTATACACACTGTGCTAATGTATTTGAAATCCGCTGTCTACGTGTAGTTTCATACCAGTGACTAAGAAGGCATTTGGTAGATCGTTGAGGCATTAACATGTCAGTAACCTAGTTGCTTACTCTCGTATATCTTTGGTGTTTTTGACATGCTACTCAAATATTGTAAAGGACATGTCTGATCACTGTTGATGCGAAGTCAAAGATGTGAGAAACATAAGAATGCAAATTGGAATATTTTCTGTACGCTTGGTCCACAAGCTATATGTCACCAGTTGATTGTCCTCATACATGCAACGTGGCCTGGTACAAGATGGCTGCCAGAACGTCTCTGACAAGTCAACATTAAAGGTGGTCAAGTCTAAGCTGGGAGCTCATTATCCTTCAGCATTCGACAACCAATATCCTCAGTTGAGCAAGGAGCTGGACTAGAAGTTGCAGTACTGTTCAGACTAAAAGTTGCAGTACTGTTCAAATTAGATTCTGCAGTACTGTTCAGACTAGATTCTGCAGTACTGTTCAGACTAGAAGTTGCAGTACTGTTCAAATTAGATTCTGCAGTACTGTTCAGATTAGATTCTGCAGTACTGTTCAGACTAGAAGTTGCAGTACTGTTCAGACTAGAAGTTGCAGTACTGTTCAGACTAGAAGTTGCAGTACTGTTCAGATTAGAAGTTGCAGTACTGTTCAGACTAGATTCTGCAGTACTGTCCATGGGGAGAATCTTGGCAACACAAATTTGATATCTGCAGTAAAGTAGATGATACTAAATACAATTAAGTGAAACTGAAACTTAGCCCCAAACAATTCTCCATGGTTGAATTACATTTTTGCATCCTGATTTATATTTAAATCCTCCTTTGAAATCGCTACATAATATACGACAGCCCCCTGCCTTTCATCAGGCTCACTCGTCTTGGTTTAGAAACACTGGACTCAACATGCTTGTTCTTCTATATTTAAACATTTAGGGCAGTTACTGGCAACTCTGGTACATTGTGTAACTTGAATTGTTGGTTTTTTCAGTGTTGTGTATTGCATTTTGTAATATTTCATTGTTTTAGTCTCAGTGCACATTTTACATTTTCAGGCTTTTCTACCCTGATTATTGTCTGTGTGTAGAGATGATATGTTACCATTATAGTATACTATGTGATAATATGACTTATTGTGTGTAGAGATGATATGTTACCATTATAGTATACTATGTGATAATATGACTTATTGTGTGTAGAGATGGTATGTTACCATTATAGTATACTATGTGATAATATGACTTAATGTAATCATAATGAATAACTACACTGGTTAGATGATACGATAAACTGTTTCTGACTAGCTACACTGTAGGTGATGCTTTAGACCAATGACACTGATGTACTATCAAGTATTACATAGTAGACCACTAACAATATGTTATATGCACTGAGACGTTGTCCACAATGTTGCCCGGATGTTGTGAAGTGCAGGAACCAGTGATGCCCCACTTCTCACACACTTCCCCGTAGTTTCCAACTTCAAGTTCCATGTACCTTATATGTCTCAGGAAACAATTCATGCAAGATATTATGGGTATCAGTTTCCCAGTCACACACAAGACACTTGAAAACAAAACACTGATAGACTATTGTATAGAGCTGACTTACAGATTGCTTCATTCTTCGAGCTCACATGTAGTGATAGTTTGAAACATTAAAGAGTCTCTTGATCTATTTTGTTGTATTGATTTGTATTGCAATCTTGATACTCATGAATTTCATTAATTCATTTTGTTTAATTATTTGTACTGAAGAATCATATAAAAACGTCTACATAAGATAAAACCGAGGTTCCAAAAGCTTTTCATTTGTCCATGAAGATTAAATTGTTTTGGTTTGTAATCCTAGATTGTTATTGGCCTGAACTGCTTGTAGACTTGTAGTGTACAAACTACCTCAGACTAGTCTCGTGTCCTGTGTACATACGTCATATACCACACTGTATGTTGTCGCTAACACTTGTAGCCACTGCTCACCTCCCAGGGACATCAACATCCTTCATCTTTATTCTCACTTTGCACTTTCCTAACTGGCATAAACAAATTGTCAAGTTATAATGTTTCCTTAGCAACACAGAAAGCTGATCAAGTGTCATGGAGACACTGTTGATGTAACAGTATTGGTATTTGATGTTTTTGGATTAGAATATGCTCCTTCAATGTCCGATATTTAGTTCATTTTCTGCACCAAATCCGTTGTGATCACACCAGTACATCACCATCCTGTAGGAATATGGGTTGTTTTGAGGGTTTGTCTTCAATGACACTTGTATTTCAGGATTCTGTCCCACCAGACCCACCGTTAATCCCAGTATTTCCATTGTCTCTTGGAGGAATTTGTCTTCTCAGTCCCCATGTGTAACAAAACATAAACAAAATCCTTGTCTTCATCCAATGAGAAAGGGCTTTTCTAAGTTGGATAACTTGTGCCCAATCCAATGAATTCATGAAGAGGAAATATTTCTTTCTAGAAACCTGTTTTTGTTTAATCTGTCAGTCCAGTATCTCTTTACCATTATAACCATACAACTGTATTTCATAATTTGAAAATGATCTTTAGACTTTTTACTTGAGCACCTTTAGAATACCGCACCACAACTTCTCGTGAGGACGATCTCTGCCATAGGTCACGTGTCATTAAGACAAGCAACCAGTTTGTGAGAACCCGTCGGACGCGAACCCGCGACCTTTGGAGTGTTAGCTTTACAGCTAACCGACTGAGCTACGTCCACACTGTTGCACAATGTGCAAATTTATCGAGTCATTCCAGTGACATCACGGAAATGAACGGAAAAAGTCGAATAGGTCACGGACAATTACGAAGGTTACGGGTAGACGTGGTGTCTCGTGATTTAAAACTACGGACAATTGCCGAATGGACCCGATGCCATTTGGCACTCTCGTCCCATTCCGTAATCTACTTATGGCGCGGAATGAGCCGATATGCCTCAAACTGAAAAGGGTTGTTGACGTCAGGCGTCAGACGGTATACAACTACTGGAAACGCTCAACATCATTGGGCTTATGCAATGACATAGCTCGTAGAGATGAAACACCAGTGAGCGGAGCTTATACGCAGTCGCTGAGCTAGACAACCATGTTGCCATGCAGGCGTCATATGGCATTGTTTCGAGAATGTGCTTTCGAACAAAATCACATTACATTACGTAAAAGGATATTATGACGTATTTTTAAAGTTTGTGGTGCTGTATTCTAAAGGTAGGCCGAAGCTTGAAATACTAATACAATAGATATCATGTGAATGTTTGTTTGACCCAATATGGTAGCTGTTGCTTACAAGTCCGCCCCCGCTCACCCAAAGTGAAAAACCAAAAAACCCAGTGTGTTAGCTGTTGTTAACAATTGCCCCTACCCCCACTATCCCAGCTAATAGCAGCAACATCGATGATTCAGCAATAATCACTCATTTCCCTTATCCATGGTAGACCCAGTGTTGTTGTATTCAAGTGCCCCCTCCCGTGTTACCCACGGCTGTTGTCCTGCTGGTCCCCGACCTCACTGTTTGTGTCAGATGGCTGTTACACTGTTATTATGATGATGTAGGTGTTCACAACAGAGGTGCACATTATACACTGAGAGCAATAAAGTTTATGTTTGTAGCATCATGTTTCTGTTGTTTCATCGTCTCCAAGCGGGAAGAGATATGGTCTACCATTACACAAACTGAGTGGAGTTTTACACTGCTTTTAGCAATATTCCAGCAATATCACAGCAGTGGACAACAGAAATGGGCGTATAACTGGCGGTGATATGGGGTGTAATTTATCCTGTTCAAGATGCGCATGTGTAATAGTGTGCAGTTATACTAGTCAGTAGTAATGGTGTTCTCATAGTGCTAGCCCATGTGTAATAGACACTATAGTCCAAGGCAAATAGTCTCCACTTTATGCCCTTCATGCTGAGCACCAGGGAGGGTTACTTGTTTTGGTATATGACATGGCCTGGGCATCTAACTACCAACCATCCACTTCTAGGCTGCTGCATTTCCCTTATCGAACAGCTTTACAGGGTCAAGGTTGACTGTTCACAAAGTCTAGCCCCTTATCCAAGCACTTTACAGGGTCAAGGTTGACTGTTCACAAAGTCTAGCCCTTTACCCAAGAGTTTTACGGGATGAAGACCAAATCAAATATGGATCTTCATGGTCTTGAAACAGTAGTCATAGCAATGGTGAAAGGGTACATTTTGATAACCCATGTGTTACAAAGTGTCGCAGCTCTAATGAAGTGAAATATTTAGATTGACAACAACTATTACACAACCAAAGTTTGACTTTATATCTAATAATTTATTGCATGTTCAATTGGTGCTACACTGAATATACTTACAGCATTAGCTGATTACGATGTAGTTGCTATCAAATTGTTAGCAAAGGAGCGAAATGTAGCTTTAACATCAGCCATTTAGAAATGGAAACAAAGAGCATGATATAATACATCAAAAGTTAGGGATGTTAAAAACTAGTGTTAGAAGCAAGATAATGTTTTCATGCAATATTTTGGATCCTTTCTAACACCTCTAATCATTTATGAAATACTTCTTATAACAATATAACGATGACAAGAGATATACTGGAAAACCAAAGCTCTGAGATCAAATGATAAGTAAAGCTACCTCTATATGGACATAATAACTGATCGACATAAAACATGTAAAACAGTGATGAAAAGGAAATTTAAATGTAGTTTTCTGAGGGAATATTCTCTGTATCACTTGAAAAAGAAGACAAGTATCAAATATCCCACAAGATGATCAGTGTAACGTTGGTGGGAAATATACTGGCCACATAAAGAAACTGTGCACACAGAAAATATAAAGATAGGCAGACAGCGTCTTTATACATAAATACAGGTGTGAACATAGCAAGCAAGTAATGGAGACAATCAAACGCTCATGCAGGTGTCAGGCGACGTGACGTCATTGATGCATGATAGCCTATGGACTTGCAATGTGTTACTGCACGTGCAGCCCGTGCAGCTGCACCCAACATGTGAAACTCAGAAATTGCTGTCACTGTCGAAAGCTTGATCTTTGGTCATTCAAACGTTCACAAATTCACATGATAAGTCACATGCACATCGTGCCAAGATTAACATCTGCTCAACGTCATGAAGCCATTGGAATGGTTCGAGCAGGCATGAGCCAACAACAGGTGGCAGCACATCTCCAATGCCATCGTAACATGATATCTGCATTGGTCAGGCGTTATGAAAACAGTAATGACGTCGCCGACCACCTACGTTCTGGGCGTCCCCGAGTTACGACGCCAAGACAGGACAGATGGATTCGGGTGACTCATCTCGGACACAGGTTCCAGACGGCATTGACCACGCCCCAAACCATTCCCCAGGCCGTCAATGCTCATTTGGTAGCCTCTATGCCTCTATGCGTCGTCGATGCACTGCTCTGCTTCACGCGCATGATGGCCATACCCGTTATTGACTTTGTGACTTCGTCGTGTGACCTCCTACTCAACTGAATTTCTGACATCATCGTTACGGATATTGTTCATGTTCTTTTCACATGTTGTTGAGGCCCGATACTTCAGCTTATAAAGTGTCTACTTCGTCGTTTCTGTGTTGTATTCCAATTCTGAAGAAATTTTCGGTGTGCACAGTTTCTTTATGAGGCTAGTATATATACCGCATTCCTTACTGCATTTCAACCAGGACTTGCTGGAATTCTCGTATTTGATTGGATAATCGGAAGTTTCAAATCACAATAAGACTTATCACAAAAGAACCAACTATTAAGAAGAAAGTACTTCATTTTGAGTTTGTATAAATCAAAGGTTCGGTTGGAACATATTTCTGAAAAAGTATTTACTAATCAAAATAATATGTAATACTACTTAAATGATATACACGCATGGTATTGATTTAGTCAATCAATCCAAATGTGTTAAATCGATGTTTCATTGCAAAGGTCACTGCAGGACTTAAACATCCTTAATCCGCATCTTCCATCTGTCTAGAGAGAATATTTCAATATACAAACAGATCAAGTTCTTTCTACCCCTCTTCCTCCTCATCAGATCTGCAATCATCGCCAGGTCCAAAACGTGTCTTGAAATCCTCTGTGGATATATTCCTGATGGTGTAAGGGAGCTCGAACCATTTCTTGTAGTACTTGGGTTGATTCGTTTCTTCATCAACAACGATGAAGTGCTTGATCCCCAGTGAGTGGAACGAGACCTGCTGGTAAAGAAACATGACCCCCCACTCCCTTCGGCACACCTTACACTGCATTCTCCCTGTCATAGTTATTCCATCAAAAGGTTTTTTGGGCTCTCCGAATTGTCTGACCTCAATACGTCCTTCAAACTCTCTGTCAATGACGACATGTTGGTTATCATTAATGACCCTCAGATCTTTGCTATGGGCACAAAAACTTTTACAGCTTCCACATTTCAGTATAAATCTTTTTTGAAGCTTTTGTTGAAGTTGATGTTGCTGGACAACTTCCTTTGTAGCCTCTTTAAGCAGGATCTCTTCCTGTTGTTTGCTGATTCTGCGTTGGATGCGATCAAATGGCATTTTTAGGATTTCCCTGACAGCTCTTTCCATCATGGCAGCACGGGCAAGATTGAGCGTTTCTTTCTGCTGTGTCTTGTCGCAGCCCAACAGAACAGAGGTGCCTCCAGCTTTCCTGCTTCTTCCTAAACAGAGTGTCCAGACATCATTGTGCTCAAGCAACACTGGTGTATCAGAGAATGGCTACTTCTACAAAGGATACAAATCTACAGTAGTTGTGTGACAGATGCTCACTTACTAGGTGAACATGTCCTTAGGGAATTTAAGCAGAAGGGAATACATGTTAGAATTGGTCCCAAGCAACCTGTTGGTCTGTGTTTTGGGATTCTAGGTTAGAACTGTTCCCTAACAACCCTCTCCCTTTTAACGTTGATGTGTACAAACGGCTATGACACGAATTATGCTATAAATTCACAATGAAACAGAGAAACAAAGATTCTGATTGGTTAGTGAAAGAGCATCAAATCACAAACATAGGGGCTTGCATTCTCCAGTGGAAGAGGTAGACTGAGGTAAGCATCTAGATAAGCCTGTAAATTTAAGTACTATTATCAATGATAATAATTCTTAAAATATTCTCTCTAATATTGATTTGCCTTTTCCCCTGAAACTTGTTTCTGATCCACAGGTTTAATTGAATTAAATTTTTAATAATCCATTAAGCATGAGGAACTTTGTAGTTTTTCCTAGGGTACTTTTTGTGAAAAGTACTCTAAGACTCTACCAGGCCTTAACCTCAAGGTAAAATTTTAAGAATTATTATCATCGTTGATACTTCAAAATTCTCATGAATACGTCCCTTTAACACTTGGTGGACTCATACTATCCCGTATTCTCATGAATACGTCCCTCTAACACTTGGTGGACCCATACTACCCCGTACTTGGTTAGGGAGACCACCATACTGCTCACAAGTCTAGATCTTTAATGATGAGACAAATAGACCTGTCTTCGGTTGTTGTGACAACACTCGAGAACGTCTCTTGTGGCTGTACTTAATGATTTGCTGGACTATGATATAATTCTTGGTCAGTGATATCCCAGATGATGGCACAGTGAGTTCTGATGATGTCACTGATGACATCACTTCCACTAACGGTACCTTTGATGATGACATCACTTCCGCTCCGTATCTCGTCCACCAGGAAGACCAAGTGTTATCCCTCATTAGATATGACACACCTTTCAGTCGCAGTCTACCGCTTGAGGTGTTAGACTCAACCATGTGCAACAGAAGAGGTTTTCCAGGGCCACAACAATCAACCCTGGATTCACCCTCAGTGATGATTGTTTTCTTCTGTTCTCCCCGGGTTCGAATCCCCACATGGGTACAATGTGTGAAGCCCATTTCTGGTGTCCCCCGCCGTGATGTTGCTTGAATATTGCTAAAAGCGGCGTAAAACCAAACTCAGTCAGTCAGTCAGTTCTTCTGTTCTCAGGCATCTCTTCTCAAAAGACTGGGCAAAACAACTGTGAACCCTCTCGTGTAATCCTTGCAAGTCTTGGGTCAACTCAGGTAAAAGGTGGTAAACTGTGCTAAAGGTGTTCAACGAAGGCCACTGTCAAGCTGACATGATCTGTTCCACGAGGCTAAGGATGATGCAATGGTTTGGATCTCATTTGGCCGGAGTGACCCATAGGATGGAAAACGTAATAGTTTTCTTGATCCATGATGCCACTTGTACATTTGGTTAAATCTATGTCGGACTGATCCTGGCATGATAACCATAGCCTGCGACATCCTCAGTAAAAAGCCTCTGTCTTGTCAAGATACCACTGAAGGTCTTACGAGGCATAAGCATCTGCCCGATAAACCCTTGTCCAGTGTAGGAGGGATAATAAACACACATAATAGAGGTCCCAAGGCAGACTTCTGATTCTTGGCAAGGAACTCAGGTATGCTCTGATCAAGATTCTAGACCGACCTGAAATGGACCTGACATTCAGAGCATTTAGCTGTGACACCCTTGAGGCTGTAGTCAGGGCCATGAGGAATACAGTCTTCCAAGCAAGATGAGATAATGTTGCTTTGTCCATGGGTTCGAATTGATGTGTAAAAGCACTGATAAAACAACTGAAACATCCCGCTTTGTAGTTATTCACTGGTTAGGAATATCCTCCACTTCAGAAGAGCGTGGCACGTTAAGGATAAAGGTATTTCCCAATAAGTATTCCTTGCTTTTGAGGACTGATGCCGGTGTTAACCGATAGTCTGCAATAGTCCCACGCAAGTCGATTCTAAGATGTATTAGAAATTCCACAATCATCGGTATAGTTATAGGTCCATTGACAGTGAAATGAGGAAGAGATATACTTAGTTTTACTCATCGTATTAACAAATCACAAATTTTAACACCTAGGACATTTTGAAAACAATATAACAGAGAACAAGTTAACACATGTGCTCATGTGCACCACAGGCAAAATTATTAAGTTTCCTTTGCTTATCACGGAGAAGCTTATTTCAGAGAAAAAAGGCAAATCAAGTGTTAGAGGGCGTATTCGTGAGAATGATATCAATCTATTCTTAGTTTATTCCTGTCTCACCTCGGGTCTGGAGAGTTGTGATTTCATTGCCAACATGGTTGTACTTCAGGACAATGTTGCATTCTGGGATATCCAGTCCTTCCTCTGCCACTGATGTGGCGACAATCAACTTGACTTGACCACTCTTGAACTTGGCAATCACTTTGTCTTGTTCATTCTGTGTCATTCCTGCAGAAAGTAAATGTCTTCAATGAGAAATATACGGTCCAATAATTGTGATTTTTGTTAATTCATAATCTTGTGTGTATTTACCAACTGAAAATGAATTTTAGGTAGGCTTTTCTCCACACATTGTATGACCTTGACATAAAATCATTGAGGGGCATGGGTGTCCCAGGTTTGAGTAACCAATCATTGAGGGGCATGGGTGTTCCAGGTTTGAGTAACCAATCATTGAGGGGCATGGGTGTTCCAGGTTTGAGCAACCAATCATTGAGGGGCATGGGTGTTCCAGGTTCGAGCAACCAATCATTGAGGGGCATGGGTGTTCCAGGTTCGAGCAACCAATCATTGAAGGGCATGGAGGTTCCAGGTTTGAGTAACCAATCATTGCGGGGCATGGGTGTTCCAGGTTTGAGTAACCAATCATTGCGGGGCATGGGTGTTCCAGGTTTGAGTAACCAATCATTGAGGGGCATGCGTGTTCCAGGTTTGAGTAACCAATCATTGAGGAGTATGGGTGTTCCAGGTTTGAGTAACCAATCATTGAGGGGCATGGGTGTTCCAGGTTTGAGCAACCAATCATTGAAGGGCATGGGTGTTCCAGGTTCGAGCAACCAATCATTGAGGGGCATGGGTGTTCCAGGTTCGAGCAACCAATCATTGAAGGGCATGGAGGTTCCAGGTTTGAGTAACCAATCATTGCGGGGCATGGGTGTTCCAGGTTTGAGTAACCAATCATTGCGGGGCATGGGTGTTCCAGGTTTGAGTAACCAATCATTGAGGGGCATGGGTGTTCCAGGTTTGAGTAACCAATCATTGAGGGGCATGGGTGTTCCAGGTTTGAGTAACAGATCACTGAGGGAGTATCGGCAGCATAAGATGTGGACATGCTGATAAGTGAATGTTGTAAGCATGGTTCAAGACCACTGTAGCCACCTGTACACACAACGACTCATGGTCACTATGTCTTCAATGACAAAGCAGATTACTCTTTCCCACTTAAACATATTTGACATATTTTACCTCCTTCCTCCTCGTTTGCTCCAGCTCCAGTGAAGGCCATGGCTTTAAGATCTTTCAGCTGGGGGTCAATCCTTTCGTCTTCATTGAGCCAGTTGGTCAGAGCGTAGCAGGTGGCCCGGGTTCTCACAAATATGATGGCTCTGGAGTCACTGCCTTTTGCCTCCAGCAGATCTGTCAGTGTTTTGGCTAACACTTTCAAATTGGGGTTGTCAAACTTGGGGTCATCTTTCCTTTTTTGTTCATAACGGATCAGTTTCTTTTTCAAACCTTCAACATAAAGATATGATTTCCAGGTGTTATTAGCACATACTGCATCATGGCACTTTGTTGATGATGCAGTACTTGGGTAAAGCTGGAAGAATGTAGTTTAGGTTCGATATGAGGAAGGAAAACAGAGTGGTTTGCTTATGGCATACGTTTATCTGGCTTGGAGAGAAACTCTTACATAACCAAGCTGACTAACGGTTCTTAGAAACAGGTAAAATTATCATGTATAGTTGACAACGAAAATGACTTGTTTTTAGTGTGACTGCAATCATAATTACAGGATTTATGGCAATGTTGTAATAGAAAATGTATTTTTAGAATGAAGATGATGATGACTGTTGTCCAGTGATGATAATAATTTAGAGTTAAGAAGTAAGAACAACAACAACAACTATAGGATTTAGTTGTGGGAAACATGCTGTTCTTCAGATATGCTCCTTGTTCTTGTGTTTACATTCTGACTAAGCCTGCACCAACATGGTTCATCCTTCAGATTTTGTCCTCACTTGTGAAAATCTTGGACAGTTCCTCGTCTGTCCTGCTTTCATTCTGCCTCGGCTCCATGATATTGAGCTCCTTCTGCAGGTAGTCCACTACATCATAGATCCGAACATACTCATGGATTTCCAACGCTGCATTGTATTTCTTGGACACAAAACAAGTCATAGTAACATACAAGTGAGGGATTTGGGCGACAGGAAGGTCCTGCAGCCATTACAGCAGACCAACCTGGGAACCAGGTGTATGCATCCTTGCTGTAGGATTTAAACAAATTTTATTCATTATGAGTAATGGAAAGGATTGGCAAACAAGCAAAAGGCATATCTTTATGCCGCTCCAATACAGCAGCATTGATTATGTACATATGTATAACATTTCAACAGTAAATAATTAAGTGACATTGAATGTGATCAACGAAATGAATTCATTTACAGTAGGTTTACAGTTATGTATTACATTGTGTTTCAGTACATTACTTCTTAAAACTTAAATCGACAAGATTTTTCAATAAAACAATGAACAGATTTATCAATTTGTAAATTTTCAATTTCCGATGCTTGAATATTTCCATATAGAACCGATTTGAGATTGTATCCATTTCTATAAAAATGCATATCATTTCTTTAATTATCGTAATTTGGACACATTAAGTGTATAGAATAGTGTAAATTATCTTCACAAAATGCACCACAAGAACAAGATGGGTCATTAGATATATAACGATTAACTTTGTACGAGTTTAGATCACTACATCCTAATCGAAGTCTAAAGTGCATAATATGACAGAATCTGCTTCCAAAATTTGGATCATAGGCAAATTTAATACCTGGATTGTGTGAAATTTTATCTGTGAAAGATTTAGGAGATTGGATTTGTTTAATATCATCTGGTAAAAGGTTCCACAGTTCTACAGTGCTTGGTAAGAAAGAGTTAATGTAGAAAGTTGTTCTTGAAGGAACGTTTTGTAAATTTGTTGAATTTACCAAATCATAGGAAATATTCGCAGATAAGGGTTTTGGAATCATATTACATAAATAGCTAGGTGCCTTATAGTGTATCATTTTTATGAAAAATGTTTAACATTAGTATGTCTTCTTTCAGCTAGAGGTCGGAGATCAGTTTCTTCATGAAATGTATTATGTGCCGCGTGTTGCCCCATATTTAGATCTCAAAGCATCAAGCAATTTTTTTAACTTGTTTTTATGATTAGTTGTGCAGTTGTCCTATATGTGGCTGCAGTAATCAAACAAGGGTAGTATGAAGGATATATACATGATTTTAAGAGAGTTTCTTGATAAACGATATTTAAAACGTCTCAAGCAGTTTGTCATACTTGCTGTATGTATATCATCCTCGATAATCTCCAGGGCATACGTTCAGATACTACCAGTGGAGGTTATCTCCAGGCTATACGTTCAGATACTACTAGTGGAGATAATCTCCAGGGTATACATTCAGATACTACTAGTGGAGATAATCTCCAGGGTATACGTTCAGATACTACCAGTGGAGGTTATCTCCAGGGCATACGTTCAGATACTACCAGTGGAGGTTATCTCCAGGGTATACGTTCAGATACTACCAGTGGAGGTTATCTCCAGGGCATACGTTCAGATACTACCAGTGGAGGTTATCTCCAGGGTATACGTTCAGATACTACCAGTGGAGGTTATCTCCAGGGTATACGTCCAGATACTACTAGTGGAGATTTATCGGAACGTATACCCTGGAGATTATCGAGGATATATATATATATATATGGGTTTTTTCAGCAGTGTAAAGGATAATGATCAACGTGCACATATAATTTGAATAACACGGTGACAAGATATTCATTTTACATAAGTGATTAGTCTTTCACAAACATCTTCCTTTTACACACTGATTCCTCAATCAGTTTTGCACAATTATTGAGCAGGGTAGGATTGTCATTGGTTTGAGAACAGTAGTACAGTAGGAGGTATCTTTGATTAACTAATTCAAATTAGACGAAATTATGCTAACTCCTAACGAGGTTCTAGACATGCTAAACTCTGTTAACACATCCAAAGCATCGGGGCCCAGATGGAATTAGTAACAAATTTATTAACGCTACGGCTATCTGTTTAAACATGCCCCTTACAAAAACAAAAAAAATTTTAATTTATCATTACAGGAATCAGTATTTCCTTCCTTCTGGAAGCATGCATGGGTTACTCCCCCGTTCAAGAAAGGTGATAAACACGCTTATTCCAATTATAGACCGGTAGTTCTAACGAGCTGCTTATTAAAGGTTTTTGAACGCTGTGTTTTTAAACATGTCTACAATTACCTTAGAGATAACTATATCATTACTACTTTTCAGTCAGGCTTTATCCGGGTGACTCAACTTCGACCTATTTGTACGATTTCATAGCAAAAGCACTTGATACTGGCAAAGAAGTAAAAGCTGTTTTCCTTGACATTAGCAAAGCATTCGATAAAGTTTAGCATGAAGGTCTGATTTATAAACTAAAAAAAAAATAGGCATTTCTGGCTCTTTACGAAAATGGTTCAAGAGTTATTTGCTAGATAGAAAACAACAAGTTGTAATAAATGGATTTCGATCTAATTTCCTCAGTGCTAATGCAGGTGTACCACAAGGCTCCGTTTTGGGCCCACTATAATTCCTGAGATACATTAACGACTTAGTGGCTAACATTGATAGTAACATCCGTTTATTCGCTGATGACACATCCCCTTATGTTATTGTTGGTAACTGTGATGTTACTGCTACGTACCTCAATAATGACTTAGAAAAAATTGTATTTGGGCTAGAGATTGGAATTCAATCCTAACAAAACTGAAAGCATATTGTTTTCACGTAAACAACAACCCACTAGACTTCCTGGTCTTCACATGAATATTAAAGTAGTTTCTCATCATAAACATCTTGGTTACACATTGCAAAGTAACTGTAATTGGCATGAGCACATTAGTGACACAATCAACAAAGTATCCCGATGATCAACTGCTTGAGGCCCTTGAAATATAGATTATCACGTAAGAGCCTTGACACTATTTACAAACAATTTATTCTTCCTCTCTTTGACTACTGTTCTCACATCTGGGACAATTGCAGTGAAGAACAAAGCCACTCCCTTGAAAAGTTACACCTAGATGCGCTACGTACAAGATGTGGTGCTGTACGCGGCACCAGTCATGAGAAATTATATTCTGAAACCAGTTTTTACCCTTTGGATGAAAGAAGATCTATTCGACACCTAAAACTGATGAACAAAATTGTAAATAATGAAACTTCGACTTACTTGCAAAACTTAATCCGTCTAAATCACAAAATAGTAACCGCACTCTAAGAAATTCGGGACAAATTCGCAATATCTATTGCAGATCTACCCTCTATGCTACATCCTTTATACCAGATGTAATCAGACAATGGAACGATCTGCCACAATCAACAAGCTCTATTAAAAATCACTCTAATTTCAAACGTTTTCTATCTACTCGTAAAGGTGCCTCGTTCTTCTTTGATATGAATATTGGTAATAGACAGTGTCAAGTAATCCATGCACGCCTCAGGCTCGGGTGTAGTGATTTAGATTCTCATAAGTTCAATAGACACATCTTTTCAAACCGGACCTGCTCTTGCGGTCACCCGAGAGAAGATAATATTCACTACTTCTTTACCTGTCCGTTGTATAATGACTTACGTATTTCAATGTACTTTTATTAACATGGATACGACATACATTCGGTATTATATGGTAATTGTAATGTAGACTCTGAAACTAACAAAGCGTTGATCTCCTCTGTTCACCATTTCATCCAATTTTCAAAAAGATTTAACATGACTTGAGAAATTACTAATAAAGTTCTACAATTAAATACCATATTTTACTGAACGAGCAAACGTGTGGTACCAATACATTCTATTATTTTATTGGCAATTGTTTTTCTGTAATTAGCTTCCGTAAATATGTACATGTTCGGGAGAGGCATTTATATAAGCCCACTGAGCTTGTTTGCCAATACCCTTTTCTTTCTCTTGAAATAAAATATGTTTAAAACAAGGTATCTTTGATGGACTTACGGTAGGCAGGACATTCAAGATACAAATGGTATTCATTATTGACTAAAAACATTCTTTCTTCTTGGGGTATTTGTTCCCATCTTTGAGATAGTTCAGGTGCTCTTAACAAAAACAGCTATTCTCTGGTCGTAATGGCAAACAAGTAATATTCGGTTTGATAGGCATTTCAGACGTTCAGTGGTTAAAAGGAAGGTAAGATACGTTATTGAGCCAACTATTGGCTTCCTTCTACTATTGTTACAACTTCAATCACCAATATCCATTGTTGTTCCTGTTAATCAGTTTCATGTATGACTTTGTTAATCTGTTTAAGATGTATATGAATATGTTATTGCTGTAGTACGTCACTCTTGCTTCTCAATGGTATAAGAATCGAAACCAAAATGACGTATCATGATGTTATAAAGTTGTGACAACAATAAAGTGTACTACCTTTGTAAGGTAATATTCTCTAGTTTAATAATGATTTGAATTTTATCTGTTGGTTCGTTTAAGGTATCTGTTGGTTTGTTTCGGGTATCTGTTGGTTTGTTTCGGATATCTGTTGGTTTGTTTCGGGTATCGGTTGGTTTGTTTAGGGTATCTGTTGGTTTGTTTCGGGTATCTGTTGATTTCCTTAAGGTATTTGTTTTGTTTGTTTAGGGTCTCCGTTGGTTTGTTTAGGGTATTTGTTGGTTTGTGCAAAATATCCGTTGGTTTGCTTACGGTGTCTGTTGGTTGTGTAAAGTTTCCGTTGGTTTGTTTAGGGTAATTGTTGGTTTGTTCAAAGTATCCGTTGGTTTGTTTAGGGTCTCTGTTGGTTTGTGTAAAGTATCCGTTGGTTTGTTTAGGGTATTTGTTGCTTTGTGTAAAGTATCCGTTGGTTTGTTTAGGGTCTCTGTTGGTTTGTGCAAAGTATCCGTTGGTTTGTTTATGGTATTTGTTGGTTTGTTTTGGGTATCTGTTGGTTTGTGTAAAGTTTCCGTTGGTTTGTTTAGGGTCTCTGTTGGTTTTTGTAAAGTTTCGGTTGGTTTGTTTAGGGTATTTGTTGGTTTGTGTAAAGTATCCGTTGGTTTGTTTAGGGTATTTGTTGGTTTGTTTAGGGTATTTGTTGGTTTGTTTAGGGTATCTGTTGGTTTGTTTAGGGTATCTGTTGGTTTGTGTAAAGTTTCCGTTGGTTTGCTTATGCTATTTGTTGGTTTGTGTAAAGTATCCGTTGGTTTGTTTAGGGTATTTGTTGGTTTGTTTTGGGTATCTGTTGGTTTGTGTAAAGTTTCCGTTGGTTTGTTGATGGTATTTGTTGGTCTGTTTAGGGTCTCTGTTGGTTTGTGTAAAGTTTCCGTTGGTTTGTTTAGGGTCTCTGTTGGTTTGTGTAAAGTATCCGTTGGTTTGCTTATGCTATTTGTTTGTTTGTGTAAAGTATCCGTTGGTTTGTTTATGGTATTTGTTGGTTTGTGTAAAGTATCCGTTGGTTTGCTTATGCTATTTGTTGGTTTGTGTAAAGTATCCGTTGGTTTGTTTAGGGTATTTGTTGGTTTGTTTAGGGTATCTGTTGGTTTGTGTAAAGTTTCCGTTGGTTTGTTTATGGTATTTGTTGGTCTGTTTAGGGTCTCTGTTGGTTTGTGTAAAGTTTCCGTTGGTTTGTTTATGGTCTCTGTTTGTTTGTGTAAAGTATCCGTTGGTTTGTTTAGGGTATTTGTTGGTTTGTGTAAAGTATCCGTTGGTTTGTTTAGGGTATTTGTTGGTTTGTTTAGGGTATTTGTTGGTTTGTGTAAAGTTTCCGTTGGTTTGTTTATGGTATTTGTTGGTTTGTTTAGGGCCTCTGTTGGTTTGTGTAAAGTTTCCGTTGGTTTGTTTAGGGTCTCTGTTGGTTTGTGTAAAGTATCCGTTGGTTTGTTTAGGGTATTTGGATTGTTTGTTTAGGGTATCTGTTGGTTTGTTTATGGTATTTGTTGGTTTGCTTATGCTATTTGTTGGTTTGTGTAAAGTTTCCGTTGGTTTGTTTAGGGTATTTGATGGTTTGTTTAGGGTCTCTGTTGGTTTGTGTAAAGTTTCCGTTGGTTTGTTTAGGGTATTTGTTGGTTTGTGTAAAGTATCCGTTGGTTTGTTTATGCTATTTGTTGGTTTGTGTAAAGTATCCGTTGGTTTCTTTAGGGTATTTGTTGGTTTGTTTAGGGTATTTGTTGGTTTGTTTAGGGTATCTGTTGGTTTGTGTAAAGTTTCCGTTGGTTTGTTGATGGTATTTGTTGGTCTGTTTAGGGTCTCTGTTGGTTTGTGTAAAGTTTCCGTTGGTTTGTTTAGGGTCTCTGTTGGTTTGTGTAAAGTATCCGTTGGTTTGTTTAGGGTATTTGTTGGTCTGTTTAGGGTCTCTGTTGGTTTGTGTAAAGTATCCGTTGGTTTGTTTAGGGTATCTGTTGGTTTGTGTAAAGTATCCGTTGGTTTGTTTAGGGTATTTGTTGGTCTGTTTAGGGTCTCTGTTTGTTTGTGTAAAGTATCCGTTGGTTTGTTTAGGGTATCTGTTGGTTTGTGTAAAGTATCCGTTGGTTTGTTTAGGGTATTTGTTGGTTTGTTTAGGGTCTCTGTTGGTTTGTGTAAAGTATCCGTTGGTTTGTTTATGTTATTTGGATTGTTTGTTTAAGGTATCTGTTGTTTTTTAAGGTATTTGTTGGTTTGTGTAAAATACCCGTTGGTTTGTTTAGGGTACCTGGTCGTTTGTTTAAGGTATCTGTTGTATTTTTAGGGTTTTAGGTGGTTTGTGTAAAGTATCTGTTGGTTTGTTATGGTGTCTGTTGGTTTGTAGTCTCAATAATTTACACCAATATCATATACTTCAACACACAAAGTATGGCATCAACAAAACATCATAGCTACGTTAGAAACATGTCTTCCAGCACAGAATTAAATTTGGAATTTTTCGATGATTGGTCTTGATATAATTGGTTTTATTTGTATATTTTAGTTATTTTATTATTTCATTCACTCATGAACCAAGTATTTCTTTAGCTACTTACAAACAGCTGATCGGCCATTTCAAATATGCCCCTTGCCATCTCAGTTTTTCTAGGCTCTATGTCCCTGTCGTGGCTGCTGTATGTTCCCGTCTGGACCAATCTGGCCTCATTCCTCAGCTGGACAGCCCACTGACCGTATGACTGGCTATTGCGTTTAGTGGGGCGCTTCATTAGCAAGTTGTCAATTTTTCTGTTATTCAGATCTAATAAAACCAAATTACAATAAAGTGAATAATGGAAACATTATTGTCATCATAATACTCATGTCACTTTAACAATGAGACAAAAAGGGATCAAGTGCAGAATGTTATCCTGGAGAAAAAATGAATGTCCCCTGCATTTGGTTCTGAAATACACACCTCCATTATCTCGTCATAATCCCATGCATGTTGTCCCACTAGGCATGAGGTCACAGTATATGAGGAGGTCCAATGTACACACGGGTTATAAATTGAAATACATAATTCATTGGGTTTCCTTCTATACACACTGTACATTATTTGAAAACAAGAGCAGCCCCCTCAATGCCAATTCCAGAAGTTCCCAGAAACACCACTCCTTTGATCGGGGAGAACGGTCACAACACAACCTCAAATAGATTGAAGTAACCTGACCCCCATAATGACTAACCTATATTCAGTTCCAGGCTAAAGATATTACTTGTCTTGAAAAACCGTGATTGCCAAAGGGACTAATCCAAGCATTACAGGATTCTGTCACAGGAGAATATATCTCAGACATACACTGTGAGACTGGTAAAAAGAATTGGTCTCTGGTTTCGACAGAGCTTCATTGAAAAAAAATAAAAAAAGAAAGACAAAACATAATGGAAAGACTTCATTGTGCAAACCAAGTAATCTATACTCATGCCAATAGTGGTTGTCACCCCCCTCCCCACCGCAACCCCACACACATCTCACACCCCCACCCAACACCCCCTCTCCAATTAAAAAATTTGAAGGGGGTGACAACCATTATTGGCATGAGTATATTTAATATCCAAACAGCTGACCAGCAGATGGCAGTGTTGGTCAACAGATGGCAGGGTTGGTCAACAGATGGCAGGGTTGGTCAACAGATGGCAGTGTTGGTCAACTGATGGCAGGGTTGGTCAACAGATGGCAGTGTTGGTCAACTGATGGCAGTGTTGGTCAACAGATGGCAGGGTTGGTCAACTGATGGCAGTGTTGGTCAACAGATGGCAGGGTTGGTCAACAGATGGCAGTGTTGGTCAACTGATGGCAGTGTTGGTCAACAGATGGCAGTGTTGGTCAACAGATGGCAGGGTTGGTCAACTACTGGCAGTGTTGGTCGCTACTGGCAGTGTTTGTCACTACTGGCAGTGTTGGTCAACAGATGGCAGGGTTGGTCAACAGATGGCAGTGTTGGTCAACAGATGGCAGGGTTGGTCAACTGAAGGCAGGGTTGGTCAACTACTGGCAGTGTTTGTCAACAGATGGCAGTGTTGGTCAACTGAAGGCAGTGTTGGTCAACTACTGGCAGTGTTTGTCACTACTGGCAGTGTTGGTCAACAGATGGCAGGGTTGGTCAACTGAAGGCAGTGTTGGTCAACTACTGGCAGTGTTTGTCACTACTGGCAGTGTTGGTCAACAGATGGCAGGGTTGGTCAACTGAAGGCAGTGTTGGTCAACTACTGGCAGTGTTGGTCAACTACTGGCAGTGTTTGTCACTACTGGCAGTGTTGGTCAACAGATGGCAGTGTTGGTCAACAGGTGGCAGTGTTGGTCAACAGATGGCAGGGTTGGTCAACAGATGGCAGTGTTGGTCAACTACTGGCAGTGTTGGTCGCTACTGGCAGTGTTGGTCGCTACTGGCAGTGTTGGTCAACAGATGGCAGGGTTGGTCAACAGATGGCAGGGTTGGTCAACAGATGGCAGTGTTGGTCAACTGATGGCAGTGTTGGTCAACAGATGGCAGTGTTGGTCAACAGATGGCAGTGTTGGTCAACTACTGGCAGTGTTGGTCGCTACTGGCAGTGTTGGTCGCTACTGGCAGTGTTGGTCGCTACTGGCAGTGTTGGTCAACAGATGGCAGGGTTGGTCAACTGAAGGCAGTGTTGGTCAACTACTGGCAGTGTTGGTCAACTACTGGCAGTGTTTGTCACTACTGGCAGTGTTGGTCAACAGATGGCAGTGTTGGTCAACAGGTGGCAGTGTTGGTCAACAGATGGCACTGTTGGTCAACAGATGGCAGTGTTGGTCAACTACTGGCAGTGTTGGTCGCTACTGGCAGTGTTGGTCGCTACTGGCAGTGTTGGTCAACAGATGGCAGGGTTGGTCAACAGATTGCAGTGTTGGTCAACAGATGGCAGTGTTGGTCAACTACTGGCAGTGTTGGTCGCTACTGGCAGTGTTGGTCGCTACTGGCAGTGTTGGTCAACAGATGGCAGGGTTGGTCAACTACTGGCAGTGTTGGTCAACTACTGGCAGTGTTTGTCAACAGATGGCAGTGTTGGTCAACAGGTGGCAGGGTTGGTCAACTGAAGGCAGGGTTGGTCAACTACTGGCAGTGTTGGTCAACAGATGGCAGTGTTGGTCAACTGAAGGCAGTGTTGGTCAACAGATGGCAGTGTTGGTCAACTACTGGCAGTGTTGGTCAACTACTGGCAGTGTTTGTCAACAGATGGCAGTGTTGGTCAACAGGTGGCAGGGTTGGTCAACTGAAGGCAGGGTTGGTCAACTACTGGCAGTGTTGGTCAACAGATGGCAGTGTTGGTCAACAGATGGCAGTGTTGGTCAACAGATGGCAGTGTTGGTCAACAGATGGCAGTGTTGGTCAACAGATGGCAGTGTTGGTCAACAGATGGCAGGGTTGGTCAACAGATGGCAGGGTTGGTCAACTGAAGGCAGTGTTGGTCAACTACTGGCAGTGTTGGTCAACTACTGGCAGTGTTTGTCAACAGATGGCAGTGTTGGTCAACAGGTGGCAGGGTTGGTCAACAGATGGCAGGGTTGGTCAACTACTGGCAGTGTTGGTCAACTACTGGCAGTGTTGGTCAACAGGTGGCAGTGTTGGTCAACAGATGGCACTGTTGGTCAACAGATGGCAGTGTTGGTCAACTACTGGCAGTGTTGGTCGCTACTGGCAGTGTTGGTCAACAGATGGCAGTGTTGGTCAACAGATGGCAGTGTTGGTCAAGTACTGGCAGTGTTGGTCAACAGATGGCAGTGTTGGTCAACAGATGGCAGTGTTGGTCAACTGATGGCAGTGTTGGTCAACAGATGGCAGTGTTGGTCAACAGACGGCAGTGTTGGGCAACTGATGGCATTGTTGGGCAACTGATTGAAGTGTTGGTCAACAGATGGCAGTGTTGCTCAACTGATGGCAGTGTTTACGTGATACAAGCTTACTGTGTAAACCTACTACATCTCAACTAGATGAGTTACGCACCATTGATGTCAATCAGTTGGTCCTCTATTGTCTTCATTGCATTCTCCAGTTCTTTCCGTGCATGGTCCAGCCTGTTTTCAGTTAACTTAACCTTTTCTATGTGAAAGAGAAAAGTGAAAGACTATATGTATGTATATTTGATCAGATTTGAACATGCGCCTTTTGAGAGAAACATTGTAAAGAGAAGCGACAAAACCCTTTCCACATTCATAAGAAATCTAGTCAATTGTACAGCTATATCATGGGCAAATCATGAATTAATGCAAGGCTACGACTGTTTGACTGCTGATCCGGCAATCATTGCTGCTTTCCTTTTGCTTAATGCTGCGCTCTGTCAGTTTCCAACTACAAGGAATTGGCTTTTAAAGAAATAGTCTGGACAAGACAATCCACTGATCAGTGTTAGAAGCTACCACCCAGTGTCGTCATGAATTGACTCACTATTTCCTATGTCAACCAAGACTGCCACCTTCTCCATTTAGATGTCCCTGACAACCAGCAGTTAATCATTTGGTCTTCACCTGAACCAGTTTTGTCGCCTTTCAAAGTCGTATGACTCACAGTCTGTCCCCAAATAACATCAGCATATAAAGCTAGTTCATCCAAAACAGCTTCCTGCTGAGAGACACTAGACAGTTTACAAGGCATTCAACTGTTTGCGTGACTATCTTAATATTACTTGCCGAGCTATAAGTCACCTTTGGCATTACCATCATTGGTTGTATTAAGATCAGTTTTAGGTGCATTATAGAAATTGACATCAGTTTAAACTATCCAAACTATCCAACATTGTACAGCAATAACTACTTTGATCTTGCACCATCTGCTTTCAGAGCAGATAAGGTCACTTTTACTTATCCCACTGTTACTTATCTTACTTTCACTAATCCTAATGTTACTTATCCCACCATCACTAATCAGATTGTTACTTATCCCACTGTAAATAATCCCACCGTCACAAATCAGATTGTTACTTATCCCACTGTAAATAATCCCACTGTTACTTATCTCACTGTTACTTATCCGATTGTCACTAATCCCACTGTCACTAATCCCACTGTCACTAATCCCACTGTTACTTATCCCACTGTCACTAATCCTATTGTTACTTATCCCACCGTCACTAATCCCACTGTTACTTATCCCACTGTCACTAATCCCACTAATACTTATCCCACTGTCACTTATCCCAACTGTTACTTATCCCACTGTCACTAATCCCATTGTCACTAATCCCACCGTTACTTATCCCACTGTTACTAATCCCACTGTCACTGATACCACTGTTACTTACCCCATTGTTACTGATCCCCCTGTTACTTATCCCACTGTTACTAATCCCACTGTTACTGATCCCACTGTTTCTGATTACACTGTTACTAATCCCACTGTTATTTATCCCACTGTCACTTATCCAATTGTTACTTATTCCACTGTTACTAATCCAATTGATTATCTTGATAGACCTACTTTCATCTGGCACTGGGACCTTTTCTTGGAGTTCATCTATGTGTGCCTGCACAGTGGAGAGATAAGGGGCATCCATGTTGGCACATAGTTTCAGGATATTGTCAATGGCCTCCTCATCAACTGTTGCCTTCTCTACACCCAGTGAAGCTGTCAGGCCTACAATCTGAAAGCAACAGACAGATGATATATTTGAAATCAGCAAACCATATTTATGTTTTATATATTTCACAGTTTTAACCTCTTTTCATCTCTCCCGGAGAGAAAGCGTAGTGGGTTTTTGTTTGGCATCTACAGCCTTGATACTGGTTGAATATTAATAGATGTGGTATGAAAAAGACTCTCACTTTCTTTCTTTCCATAACATGGAGGTCATTAGTGTAAATGATGATAATAACCTGAGGTAGACGTTTTGATTTCTGCTTGCTTTTCTGCTTGAGATATCTGATCATGAGTTTGTTGTATGGCTCCCCTTTCCGTGTGTGATGGCACTCATCCAACACAATAAGGCTGAACACAGACAGCGACTTGATCTTGGCATCCTTCATCTGGTTCTCCAGAATCATCGGTGTCATCACAATGATGTCAATGTCGTCCAGTAACTGGTGGAGGAGCTTGCTTCTCTCATCCTCGCCACTCAACTTTAAAATCTGCAAACCAGAGTGACACATGTACAGAAGCTCACCTTGTTCAATGATATATATCAGTAAAAACCTAGGTTTTGATTCTCACAAAACGAAATAACTCACCTTGTTCAATGATATATATGAGTAAAAACCTATGTTATGATTCTCACAAAACGAAATAACTCACCTTTTTCAATGATATATATCAGTAAAAACCTATGTTATGATTCTGACAGAACGAAATAACTCACCTTGTTCAGTGATATATATCAGTAAAAACCTATGTTATGATTCTCACAGAACGAAATAACTCACCTTTTTCAGTGATATATATCAGTAAAAACCTATGTTATGATTCTCACAGAACGAATTAACTCACCTTGTTCAGTGATATATATCAGTAAAAACCTATGTTTTGATTCTCACAGAACGAAATAACTCACCTTGTTCAGTGATATATATCAGTAAAAACCTATGTTATGATTCTCACAGAACGAAATAACTCACCTTGTTCAGTGATATATATCAGTAAAAACCTATGTTATGATTCTCACAGTACGAAATAACTCACCTTTTTCAATGATATATATGAGTAAAAACCTATGTTATGATTCTGACAGAACGAAATAACTCACCTTGTTCAGTGATATATATCAGTAAAAACCTATGTTATGATTCTCACAGAACGAAATAACTCACCTTTTTCAGTGATATATATCAGTAAAAACCTATGTTATGATTCTCACAGAACGAATTAACTCACCTTGTTCAGTGATATATATCAGTAAAAACCTATGTTTTGATTCTCACAGAACGAAATAACTCACCTTGTTCAGTGATATATATCAGTAAAAACCTATGTTATGATTCTCACAGAACGAAATAACTCACCTTGTTCAGTGATATATATTAGTAAAAACCTATGTTATGATTCTCACAGAACGAAATAACTCACCTTGTTCAGTGATATATATCAGTAAAAACCTATGTTTTGATTTTTGCTGAATGAAACAACTTGGACTACTGATGCATTGAGCCCCTTGATGTTACTCTGTTTAATAACATTAAATGTTTGAACTGTATCGTGTTGTTTAGGATTTGGTAAATGCATAATGAAACAGTGACTGAAAAGAATGTGCTTCACCAGTGAATTCATTAATGCATTGTGTTTCATTGTTCAAACATAAACCTCAGTGCTCTGCTTTAATATTTGATCAAAGATTTTTCTCACCTTGTACTTTTTATCACCAAGGAATTGACAGAAGGTTTTGTACTGTTGAGTAACTAGAGGGACTGTGCGTGCCAGGAACACCACCTTCCTTTTACCTGGAACAGTCGCCAACCAACTGAACAAGAGAACCAAACCAAGATGTGTTCAACACATTTATTAAACAGTTAAGATTAATTGAAAAAATGAATTTGTAAAAAACTAAAATGGGTATTTTAGTATGTTGACATAACACCTCGATACTTCAATAATGAACAAAGACAATCAATATACTTATAATCATGGTTATGTTTGTTCTTATTTTAGTATGTTGACATAACACCTCGATACTTCAATAATGAACAATGACAATCAATATACTTACAATCACGGTTAGGTTTGTTCTTATTTTAGTATGTTGACATAACACCTCGATACTTCAATAATGAACAATGACAATCAATATACTTATTACCATGGTTATGTTTGTTCTTATTTTAGTATGTTGACAAAACACCTCGATACTTCAATAATGAACAAAGACCATCAATATACTTATAATCATGGTTATGTTTGTTCCTATTTTAGTATGTTGACATAACACCTCGATACTTCAATAATGAACAATGACAATCAATATACTTATAATCACGGTTAAGTTTGTTCTTATTTTAGTATGTTGACATAACACCTCGATACTACAATAATGAACAAAGACCATCAATATACTTATTACCATGGTTATGTTTGTTCCTATTTTAGTATGTTGACATAACACCTCGATACTTCAATAATGAACAATGACAATCAATATACTTATAATCATGGTTATGTTTGTTCTTAATTCTCAACATGAACTTTAAAGTACAAACTGAATACTTGTTACACTTAATAGTTTCCTCGTCAGCCAGACAAATATATTTCAACTATATTTAAAGGTGTAAACACATCTATCAACACTTCAACATTGTACATCATAACGTCTTTGAGTGGCAAAGTACATCCTGTACTTCATCTGCATTGTTATCGTTGTCGCGGTTGGTGGTTGTGATCTCAGTGTCTCCATCATGACCAGAAGGTTTTGCTTCCTTTTGAAAAAAGGATTATATATTGCGATCAGCATTTGAACCCCGATAGCAGTTAAAGTATAATGACGTGCAAAAGAAACTTTCTCAAGAAACTTACCAAACCTGACATATTTTGACATAATAGGCGTGTGTATCGTATGAAATAGGAGTTTGTGTTTTGGGAACGAGTGCGACCAATCGCATCAAAAGTCATCTGTTGAAGGGAGATTTACAAAAATTATGTGCTGTGCAACAAAGGCAAAATGCACGTGCGGAAAGGGTATAAAGCCATTGCATACGACAGGTAGGCGTGTGACATTGCAGAAAACCACAAAAGAAATGCCACGTTTACCTTCAGCAGAACGGGAGAGGGCTGTAGGAATGCTACAGTTTGGGGCTACAGCAGGTCAGGTTGCTGCAGCGTATGGTTGCTCCATAGTTAATTACTGGCAGGAACCTTCACCAACGATTCAACCAGACAGGTCAGACATCGGACAGGCCACAGACAGGCAGAACCCTTAAAATTGGCTCTCCTCCACGTCTTTCTAACTTGAAGACTTGGTAACAATTCCTTTAAACACCTTCTTCGGGAAGCCTTTTATAACGAACAGTTACAACACATTACCTTGGAGCCAATTTGTGATATATTGGATATCAAGTGTGCCGGCTTAGAGACTTTGAACAACGGGGAGAGTTCTATGGATATACAACTTCTTTATTTTTAATATGAGTGACGTGTCGGTGCAGCTACTAACACCCTTATAAAGCAAGTCATCACTGGCCATTTCTTGGCTTTGCTTGGGTATGCTGACTATACACAAAGCCCCACGAGCTCTATACAGATGCAAGCACTCCCGGTTTGAGAGCAGTACTGTATCATCACCAGGATGGCAACCTACAGGTCATCGCATTTGCAAGTAGGGGATTGAAATCTTCTGAAAGAAACTACTCTGCACATAAGCTGGAACCTTTACGCTTAAAGTGGTCAATTTCAGAAAATTCTATTTGTTTGGCAATGACTTCAGTGTGATGACATAGACCTTCGTTCTGACTGCAGCTTGACCAGATGTTACTGGACATGAAAGAGACACGGAAGAGCTAAACAAGGATCTATCTGTGATCCATTACAAGTTTCTTGTCACGTTGAAAGTTTAATTCTGTCCACCTCTGACGCTGATAAGAAAGAAGAGATAACTGAAGACAGAATGCCATGAACTCTGAGGATCCAGAAATTGGTATCATCACTGACCATCTCAGAAATAAAACTAAACCAGACAGCACGTGGTTTATTGGGAATCAATATTATGACAACACTGTTGAAAGATTTTCAGCATTTTCATCTAAAAGTGGGTTACTTTATCAAGTCAGATGAAGAAAAATGGAGAAATTAGTCCTTCAAACCAGATGTTGATCGTCCGCCTTGTGAAGTCTCCATGACAATGTTGGACATCCAGGGAGAGACAAAACCTTGGTTCTCAGCAAGGACAGGTTTTATTGGCCTGGAATACAAAAGGATCGAGAAAACCATGCTGAACAATATGTGTCATGTCTGTAAAATACCAACAGTAACAGCCCCACTGGTCAGTATAGAAACCCCACAGCCTCTAGAGCTTGTCTGTATACACTTTCTCACCCTACATCCATTGAGGTGCCGGTAGCAACATGTTCTTACAGTGACTGACCACTTTACCTATTACACCCAGGACTACCCTACAAGGAACATGACGGCCAAAATAACTGCTGAAGTTTTGTTTTAAGTGATTTCATCATACATTACAGAATGTAAACGCATTTACTCGAGCCAACTTTACTGGGAAGCTCCTGCAGGAGTATTGTCAGCTGCCGAGGAATAACAAATCATGGACCATATCCAATGGGAAATGGATTCTGCAAATGTTTGAACATGACTCTCTGCAACATGCTTGAAAATTTCGCAGTAAGAAGTAGGAAGAACTGGAGAGCCCATTTTGGACCAACAGTACATGAATACAACTGTACTCACCATAAATACCCAGGCTTTGCACCATTGTCCTTGATGTATAGACGCAATTCCATTCACGTCTCCCAGTTGACTTGACATGGAATCAAAGTTCATGACCAAAAGCACAAGAGAATTGAAAGATCATTTCATCTATGACATAGCCTCTTCTGCAGCCAAGAAATCCCAAACACGGCCCAAGGGTCTCTATGATCAAAAAGCCGAGAGTTCACCAAAGAACAAATTTTGCTCGGATTCGGCCAGAAAAATAATGATCCAATCAACGTGATTCTTATCCTTTTCAAACATATCATCTTTAACTGTAAAATATCTAAACAGATGCCAACCTTTCAGTTTTTACAACAGGAGTTACAAAAATATTATGAACTAACAAAATGTTCTGCTAGATATGTTCAAGAATCGATCATTTTTTCAAATTCTGGTCGATCTGCCACAGTCTGTTTTCTGAATCATGTTTAACCTTTTGCATGATATATTCTGTATGATGTCTTCAAATTGAAATCTACAATTTGTATTTAAACATGACTGGAGTCCATGTACCAATGGAAAAATGGAAAAAATAAACAAATTATGAAAAAAAAAGCCCAGACGTAGAATAGGGTGAGTACTTGTGAAGGTGAGTGGATTTGATAGCAAGCACAAGTTACCAGACAAATAGGAAGAAGATATTTTTTATGTCGTCTTGGTCCCTCCAAGTCCATTCATACTAGTATTTGTCTCTGGTAAGGACAATGGACAGTGAATGTACGTGAACCCTGCACAGGTCGTCCTCATTTAGTGCCATTGCCAAGAGGAAACTGGCCTCCGCAACTTATACCCTTAAAGTTCCACTCACAAAATATGATAGACAGACATGCAAAGAAGACGCACAGGATGTACCAGAAGAAGAAGAAGACATTGTGTTAGTCACCATTTAGACTCTTTAGGGTCATATTTAGGGTGATCATCTAGAAGACAAGCAGAATGAGGATGCCGAAAGTGATGCCCAGAACACTGATGCTAATGAATGATGAAACACCTCCTATTCAGCCTGTGGATATACCACCACAAAGAGAACCTGTTGCTGCTTCACAAGGACCACCAGACCTTCAAACCAAGGAGATGCATTCGAGAGCAGACACCACCTAGTTGGATGAGCAGTCGCGAGTGTGCTCTGTCAGTAATTACACAAGCAGACTGATTAACTTGGACAACTATCTCAATTCTCTAATAGAGGTAGGTGTGCTCGAGGGTCATCCAAACGTTTTTCCGATACCCTGCTGGACCAGTGTGTGTGTGGCAGATTTATCTTTATACATATGGATCTTATAATTTTTGATGTTTCCTAATCTGTATAATTACTGGTTAGTATAATATGATATGGAACAAACTTTTTGGATAACAATCCATTTTATTTCTTGATTGCGACGTTTCGATACAAAGTCTTGTACCTTTCTCAAGCAGATATGACAATGATAATTCCTGCTTGACAACAGTATAAGAATCTGTATCGAAACGTCTCACTCACGAAAAAAAGAAGTTGTTATTCATAAAGTTCGTTCAATATTGTACTTCCCAACTTCTAAATTGCACTCAAAGAAGTTAAGATAATTAAGATGAAGTCCATATATCCCCCAGCCCTTATCAAACCCAAGCCATGAGACACGTGTTCTAATGATTAGCCAAAGTAACCCTCTAAGTTACTCACTCTGCATACACTGTTTGTACAGACAAATTGACAGCAAACCTTTCACATCAGGTTAGTCTAATGTGTGTATATGTTTATGTATTTTATTTAGATAGATTACAGCATTGGTCGACGCCCAAGCCTCATCCACAGGCTAGGGATATTGCATTATAGCCTGTTTTATATTTGTACAACTATCAAATGTGTCATACTGTTGAAGTGGTGTTTCGTTGAAGATTGTCACTGCCCCGCTATACTCCTACCACCATCAATCTGGTGTCCACCACCGTCATATTGCTGGACTACGGCTAAAAGTCACCATAAAACTAAACTCACTCACTCTTACCATCAGCCTCAGCTTCAGCTTGCTTTTCAAGGTGATCTTTGACGATGTAGAGTGCAACTCGAGTCTTGCCTGAACCAGTTGGGGCACAAATGATGGTGTTGCGTTGTTTTACTGCATTCTCAGCAAGCTCTAACTGGTATTGGCGGAGGTCCAGGTCTTGTTTACCGGTCCGGTCTTTCTCAGTTTCTGGAAAAACGCAGTTTATCATATGAGCTGAGAATTTCTGAAGCACTTCGGTTCCACTTACTGACTTCCCCTCTATAGCTCTATATGCTGATTGGCCAAAGCAACATTTAGACTGTATGTCTAATAATCTATCATCAAATAGTGAAGGTCCTGACTACCATATCTCTGCCAGCGGTCTGAGAACACATGTGGCCTGATAGCATGTCAAGCAAGAAGAAGCTTGATATCTGAGACTGCCAGCAGACTATATATTTCCACTCGGGAGAGATATTCCTTCTGATCAACAATGCTGACGAGTAGAAGATTAAACCTGCACCACTGGCTCAAGTGCACCTATGTGTAGTATATCACATGTGTGGGTTGAATAAAACAACAGGAATAAATATAACCTTGAAAATACATCAGCTCAGTGTTGAATGAACACACACACACACACACACACACACACACACATCACATACACACATCACATACACACACACATCACATACACACACACACTACATACACACATACCTGTTACTATTTACGTTAATTGAATAGGGAAGAATACACAGGCACACGCACGCGCGCACAATCAGTTGTTTACAGTCTGCTCGTTCTGATGACATATCTCACACTTAGTCTACATAATGTACAGTATGTATGCCTACCATCATCAGACATCTCCATGGACTCAGAAGCTGCCTGTCCTGATGACATAACTCACACTTAGTCTACATAATGTACAGTATGCGTGCCTACCATCATCAGACATCTCCATGGACTCGGAAGCTGCCTGTCCTGATGACATAACTCACACTTAGTCTACATAATGTACAGTATGTGTGCCTACCATCATCAGACATCTCCATGGACCCGGAAGCTGCCTGTCCTGATGACATAACTCACACTTAGTCTACATAATGTACAGTATGTGTGCCTACCATCATCAGACATCTCCATGGACTCAGAAGCTGCCTGTCCTGATGACATATCTCACACTTAGTCTACATAATGTACAGTATGTGTGCCTACCATCATCAGACATCTCCATGGACTCGGAAGCTGGCTGCCTCCCCGAATCCGATTCGCTCTGCTCTGTGTGTGTGGACTCCTCCTGCATCTCAATATCAGGCACAAAGACTTCTGCAACAGGCACTGTTGCTAGTGAACTGTTGGTCAATATTGAGGCCCCCCTGACATGTGAAACTTATTTGTCAACGACAAGGGAACTAATGCCTAAAGGTTCTGAAAGCTGTTCTTCTTTTATTCCCAATGACAAGTCCAAAAACCAAGAACATGGGCATCAGGATGACAATTACTAAAAGATTTAGTCATCTATGACCATCTGAGATACACATGGACTTCTTGATACTCTCAGCTCCAAGATGTCTCTACCATTCAACCTCATGTATTGTACAAACAGCTCATCCCCAATCTACTGTAATAACAAGTCATGTATATATTCGCTCTATTTGTTTCTCATCACTTGCTTGACAACGACATTAGAATCTATGTCGAAACGTCGCCTCCACAGAATAAATGAAGTTGTATATCCATAAAAATTGTCATCATTCTTCATCAACTCAACTTCTAAAATTGCCCACTGAAGAAGTCATTTGAGCTTAACATGAATAGCAAATTGGTGGAACATAGTATGCAAAACGTTGAGGAAATATTGTTTCAAGTACCTTTTGCTACAGTTTGCTGTTGAGTTCTTGTTGACATGACACAGTCACTCACTGTTGATGCTTCTGAAAAGGTATGAAAATTTAACAGATACTTCTTACCTCCTCTGTCCTTCCTTCCCTCATTCTCTATCCCCTCCCCTATGATGACATGCCCCATCTTTCTTTTGCTCAGCCACTCCACCACCACCCCTCCATCCCCAGTCCTCCCTCCTCGACTTCCACTGTCTCCCCCTCTATCCCCTCCCTGTGTGCTGCCATGCCCCATCCTAATTTCCCTCAGTCAATCCCTCCCCATACCCCTACACAATTCCTCCCTCATCCATCCCGTCCCTCGTCCATGCCTCCATGCCTCACCTCCATCACCACTTTCTTCTCCCGAGTCTCCACTTGAACCCGTCTCATCTGAACATGCAAACATATGACAAGTACAAGTAGTGTCACAATCAGAAGAGAAAAGAGTAGAAAATAAAGGTATTATGAAATTATCTTTCATTCCCAGGTTTACACTTTTGCAATATTACCTTCTTCTTTTCTTCACTTACGAAGAAGCTCGCCAGCACACAAAGTCGGGATTTATCCCACTCGGCCACCGAGGCTATAACATATAACATATGTTACATTTGACCACTATCTAAATGGAAGAATTTGTGTGCTGGCGATTAGGTGGATGACTCTGAGAGTGTGGGTTCGAATTCTGGATGGGTTGGTTGGTCGGTTGATTGAGTGGTTTGCTGCTTAACGCCGCACTCAACAATGTTCCAGCTATATGTCGACGGTCTGACAGTAATCGAGTCTGGATCAGACAATCCAGTCATCAAAAGCATGATTATCGATCTTCACAAATGGGATACGATGACATGTGTCAACCCAGTGTACGAACCTGACTAAGCCGGCTATCATCGTGTAATCCCGTATGAAACTCAACCTAACACAAGTACAAGAATCTGTACTTTAATGAGAAAGTTGAGTTGACTTGAGTTGAGTTGGGCTTTACGTCACATCGGCACTATTCCAGCCATATAGTGACGAGAACAAGTCTGCATTAGTAACATTGTAAGTACACAGTCAAAATGAGTCTATTTCAAAAACATATATTCATTACATTGTCATTTAAAAACAGAAAAAGTTATGTAATCCCAAATATAACAAATGTAACGTTTTGCCAATTTGTAAATTGCATTGTGTATTCATACCTTCTTCTAGGTTGTTAAAATAAAATTCCAGTTAATTTCAGTTATTGAAAGGGCCCTTTTAACATTGCCAGTTCAGATGTAGTTGCCAGCTAACTATGTTGGTCATAAGAAGAGACATAATGGATGGAATAGTCACACTCAGTGACATGGTTCAAACCCAGATGATCTGAACCATTGTTCAAAAGATCAATCACTGGATTGTAAGGTCCATACTCAATTGTTTGGAATATTACAGAGTGCAGCATTAAATCATCAACCATGAACAACCACAATTTAAGATATGAAGCATATTAAGCAAGGAACGACAAAACTGAACTACACTTCAACTGATATGTTGGTTTCGGTCATTGACATGCTCACCACTATCAGACACGTTATGAATTTTGTCAGTGAACTGTGAGCCATAGGCCTTGTACAGAGCATTCATAAAATGCAGAGACCAGCGGGGGGTTTTCCTCGGCATGGCCAGGAACAGCTCCTGACAGGCATCGTGGGCACTTCGTTCGGTCTCCAAGTTGCGAATCAGCTCGTAGTCTCTGTCACTGAGTATTGGCTTCAGGTCATCAATGATCTCTGTCGGAATGATCTTGTCCTTGAGTTCGCCCTCTAACATGAGAATGAACATCTCATATCTCGCAGCTTTTGTGTTGCTTTCTGCATTGCTTGTATCCTCTTCAAATACGTCGAAGAAATGTTCAAATCCTGAAATTATGACTGCAAATTTAAAATCATGCAACAAGTTAACATAATAACCATAATGTATAACTATATAACTCATTTGATTCTTGTCCAATTTTCACATTTACCAAATTTAAAATATTTTGCTGGAAATGTCATGAGACTTGAAATGGACACAGACCAAGGCTGACAGACAACAGACAATACATGATCATAAAACCTCACTGGTCAGATAAAGGGGGCAAGTACTAATAAGTCGCGAGGAACACACCTGTTTGTCTCAGTGCATATATGAATAGTGGCACGTTTTTCTCTGGATCACCAAGGACAGCTTCCAATAGTGTTGTCACAGCCTTCTGCCGCTCCAGGGACTCTTGAGCACGGATCCTTTCTTTCATTGTAGCTACATTCAAACAAGAATAGCAATCCAAATGACATAGCAAAGACTCGGTGGCTCTCATAGACTGTCAGTAGATTAGTGGTAGCTTGCAGAGGCTCTTGGTGGATTAGTGGCTCGTAGTGGGTATCAGTATATAGTAACTAGCAGTGGATACCTATATAGATAGTAGCTTGCAGTGGATATCAGTGATAGTAGCTTGCTGTGGGTATCAGTGGATACTTACTAGCAGTGGATACCTATAGATAGTAGCTTGCAGTGGATATCAGTGGATAATAGCATGCTATCGGTATCTGTGGATAGTAACTAGCAGTGGATACCTATAGATAGTAGCTTGCAGTGGATATCCGTGATAGTAGCATGCTGTGGGTATCAGTGGATAGTAACTAGCAGTGGATACTGGATACCTGTAGAAAGAAGCTTGCAGTGGATATCAGTGGATAGTAGCTTGCAGTGGAAGCCAGTAGAAAGTAGCTTGCAATGCGTATCAGTAGATAGTAGCTTGCAGTGGAAACCAGTAGATAGTAGCTTGCTATGGGTATCAGTGGATAGTTGCTTGCAGTGGGTATCAGTGGATTGTAGCTTGCAGTGGATATCAGTAGATTGTGGCTTGCTATAGGTATCAGTGGATAGTTGCTTGCAGTGGGTATCAGTGGATTGTAGCTTGCAGTGGATATCAGTGGATTGTAGCTTGCAGTGGATATCAGTGGATTGTAGCTTGCAGTGGATATCAGTGGATTGTAGCTTGCAGTGGATATCGGTGGATTGTAGCTTGCAGTGGATATCAGTGGATAGTAGCTTGCAGTTGATATCAGTGGATAGTAGCTTGGTGTGGATAATACTTTGCTATGGGTAATAGTGGATAGTACCTTGCTATGGGTATCAGTGGATAGTAGCTTGCAGAGGATATCCGTAGATAGTAGTTTGAAGCGGTTCTTGATGGATAGCAGCTGACAGTGAGTGAGTGAGTGAGTTTAGTTTTACGCAGCACCCAACAATATTCAAGCTATATGGCGGCGGTCTGTAAATAATCGAGTTTGGACCAGACAATCCAATGATCAACAGTGTGAGCATCGATCTACGTAATTGGGATACAATGACATGTGTCAACCAAGCCAGCGAGCCTGACCACCCGATCCCGTTATTAGTCGCCTCTTACGACAAGCATGGGTTACTGAAGGCCAATATTCTAACCCGGACCTTCACGGGTCAGTAGCTGACAGACCCTTGTGATGGACTAGTAGCTTGCAGTAAATAGCAGTGTATTAGGAGCAGCCTTTAGGAATGTTTTTGCCCCTCATATAAATGAATGAAAATACATTTTAAAATTGATTCTCATGTTTGTTTATCCTGCATTTTTGTTGTCTTATTACTTTTGTTTTCTTACAAGTACATATATATGCTGTCTGTCTCATACCATTCATTCACCTGATGAAGGAGTAAGGATATATTCCGAAACGTTGTGTTCCTCATAATAAAGAAGTTGACATCCATAAAACTCTCTCCCCTGTGTGTATCACTTCTAAATGCCATTCAAAGACCGTGAGTGTCATGATATCCAATTAAAAACTCCTATTCGAATCATATCATAATAACAGAGTTATGCAAATAACACCATTTCATTTGCTAAAACACATAAAACGCAGAGAGGACAAGCAAATGGAGTGACGCATGACATATAAAAAGGATTTATACAGTACCATTAACATACAACGTACCATGTATATCATCCAATTTAGGGTATCAATTCATTTCTTAACAAAAAATGCATGATGGATGACTAGGGCTACTCGGTGTTCCTTTGAAGTAAGAATAGACCATTGTAACACTGACATGAGATTAGAGCCATTGTGGTAAATAATGGTTTCTTAGTTTTTCGATAACATTACAGAATGGACATAATAATTGGGTGTTTTCCAATAGATTGATATTTTCCCCAGTTGACATTAAGGCATAATCTAAAAGAGTAAAGACATTACAAACATTCCTGTAGCACCTGTTAGCTAAATAAGACCCTGGTTCAAGCAACGACTTCAGCTGACAATAGGAATCATATCTGGAACTTTCATAAGTAATTGAATGCCATTCCTGGTTAAACATATTGATATCGACGGCACACACACACAACTGTTTGTTGTCTGCGATACCGAAATATAACCAAAGCCATTATCTGAACTGTAATGTGAGGATATATGATGCCCAGGTTTTCTTACCAAGATTGCCAATATGTAACAGCATGTTGTAGGGTGAATAATGTTCAGACATATTAAACAGATTACACCAGTATGTCAAGCAACCAGAGTAAGATACAATGTACAGTGGGAATCTCCTGTATTCACCATAAATCATAGCACTTGGTGTTGACATATCATCGTTAAGACACTATTACAGGCAAGCAAATGAACTCTTCAAAACCTCAAATCACAGATCCAAAGAGTAATATAGGGTGTACTTGAAAATTAAATAATTTGCAATACATATTCGATATCAACAAGTTTCTCACGGCCATCTTGGGGAGTTAATACGGCTGCCGTTCAATTTGCAAGAGCATTTTGAGGTATTCTTGAGAAAATAAGGTGCTTTTCTTTCTAACGATGTCCTTAGAGTTCCTACGGTCTTCATAAGGGTGTCTTGGGATCTTCCTACGGGTTACTTACGGCCATCTTACGAATTTTTGTGTGGTACGGTGCCCATACGACACCCTTATGTGTAACTCACGTCAATCTAAAGTCGTTGGTAGGAATATCATACGACTTTCGTCACATTTTGTAGGGATATATAAACTAAAAATAAACTATTAAGATATATTTTCAAGATTTGTTTAAAAATATTCATCTCGATGTCTTATGTACACCTTAATGACAATTTTATCAGTATAATAAGTCAAAACTCAAAAGGAATATTTCCATATTCTTTGCATATTCCATTAGGAAGCCAATAATTTCCACATATCCCCATAACGCCATCAAAGTATTCACATCCATAAATTAATGTAGGCAGATATATTTACCCGACTTAAAACCCAAACTTGTCCTTGCTTTCCACCTCGATACAATAACTTTAGCTATACTAACATAACAATATTAGTCGATATTTTCCCATCGGCTCTTTATGATGATATCGTTTTAACGAGTTATTGACAGGTATTACCTGACACTTACTATCCGAAATGGTTCCATATCGAGTTTGGTAAGCGTATAGCTTATACCCCAGAACGCTACAAATGCCGCACGAATGACGTACTTCCGCCTTGAGCACGCTAGTACAGCCTTACGAACTCCGGGGGCGTTCACATGAACGCCGTAAGTTGCCCCAACAACAACTTAATGTGTACTTGGGGCATACTTACTGCCGGTGGAATGGAATGGTCTCGTGAGCCTAAATATTCTACGAACATCTTTCGTAGTTTTTACACTGTTCCCAAGGTGTTCGTACGGCCTCCGTAACATGAGGGGGTTTTCTCGGGGCGATTGTAGAGATCTTGGACAAGACCATCGACAAGACTACGAACTTACGAACGGCCTACGAATGCTGGATTCTCCTACGGCTGGTTTAAGAAGGTCGTACGAAATGGCAAAAATTGTTCGTGCGGCGTTTGTAAGGTTATTTGTGACCAGAGTTTTGTTTCATTGCTCTGATAACCAGGTTACTTACAGACATGTTCAGATTAAGCGTATGGGTAAACTATATACCAAGGTATTCATATTCATTTACTACATTGAAACATTTACCTTTGAAAACCGACCACGTAACCACCTCTGCCAAATATATAAATATTGATTTTATCAAGATTCAACATTCAGTTTCTAGTCATCTGAATAGGCTGAAAATATATCAAGTTGGTCATCATCAGCAGTAGCAGCAAAAAGTTACAAAAACGTTCTAATAGATCAGGAAAAAGCTGAATGTTTACAAGATTTCATAATAACAAAATATAACTTGTTTATAAAAAAAAACCGAGAAAAGTATCTCTGATGGAAGCCAACAGGGCAATCAAAAGTCACTTATAACATCACCACAACAGATATTACATTTGAATACATCAATATTTTGATAACAGACATGTTCTCCTTCAAACAACTATTTCTCTGTTTAACACGCATTGTCAAATAACCTGAGATGGGCAATAAAGTCAAAATCATCAAACTTATCGCACAAGCCATGCATATTCTATGATAATATAGACGGTCAGTTGTTATCGGCGTGTGTGTTTTCCGTCTGTGAAAAGATCCTGGGCCTCTCCGGATAGCTATAGAGAGAACCTGTAGAGTACCTATAGAGAGTACCTATAGAGAGAACCTGTAGAGTACCTATAGAGAGTACCTATAGAGAGAACATGTAGAGAAAAATCACTGCAGTAGCATCTTTGCAACATTGTAAAGTATAACATTGTTTCCTGTAGGCGTCTAGCTTGTCGATCTCACAGTCGAACTGCGCTGTTTATTTTCCTTGTTTTCCATCTTGGCACCGATCAAGCCAATGTCCTCGTACATTATGTCCTGATTGTAACCTACATTTTCCAAATCACTATGGAGATTCGACAGATTTGACTCGAGATCAGTAACCCTGTCTTCCCAGATGATGTGTCATGCTCTGTACCTTCTTCAATATGGTGTCTTTAACCTCGTCTACAGTCAGAGGTGCGGAATTCATTTCCACAAGTATTCATTCAGTTTCAGAGTGCATGATGTCACTCACATATACACGTTCCTAAACATGCTCATTTAGTAGATATGAATAGAAATCAATATCAGTTCATGAAAGTGTAACTCAACCAAACATGCAGTAAAAATATCATTGCACACAAAATAAGTTTGAGATGTGCTTCTGTGCCATTGACAGTAGACGAATACTTGCTGGGTGCCCTTGGGATGAATAAATAGTCCAGTTCTTGCTCTGTAGATGATAGTGGACGTCTTCTTTGTAAAGGGCATTTTTACAAAATCAATCGTATCACAGTTATTGTTTTTCAAATATAAAGCAACAGAGATATGATATTTTAGAAA